TGCTTCACAGTTCAGATGGACATTGACCTGAAGCATATTGCAAAAGCCACCAAAGACATTTTTAAGGCAAAGAAGTGGAATGTTCTGCAATGGCCAAGTCATATCATCTGACCTGAATCCAAATGAGCATGCGTTTCTCTTGCTGAAGCTAAAACTGAGGGCAAAACACCCAAAACACAAGCAGGAAGTGCAGACGGCTGCAGTAAAGGGCTGGCAGAGCATCACCAGGGAAGAAACCCAGCATCTGATGATGCCTATGTGTCCAACACTTCAGGCAGTCATTGACTGTAAAGGATTTGCAACCAAGTATTAAAACTGACTGTTTAATTGATGATTATGTTAGTTTGTCCAAATACTTATGAGCCCTTAAAGTTGGGGGACTGTGTGAAGAAATGGTTGTAATTCCTACACGGTTCATACTACATTTTTGAAAAAAGCCTTAAATGAAAGCTGAGAGTCTGCACTTTAAGCAGGTATTCATTGTTTAATTTAAAACCCATTGTGGTGGTGTACAGAGCCAAAATGATGACAAGTGTATCATTGTCCAAATAATTATGGACCTGACTGTATGTGGCATTGAGTCGTAGGCTTTCTTGTAGTCAATCCAGGCGGTGCACAGGTTGGTCCTCCTGCTCTTGCAGTCTCGGGCGATTGCTCTGTCAACCAGTAGCTGGTGCTTGGCTCCTCTGGTGTTACTGCCAATTCGTTTCTGTGCCTCGCTCATGTATTGGCCCATATGCCTAGTTATCTTAGCTGCTATGATGCCTGACAGGAGCTTCCATGTTATGGAGAGACAGGTTATCGGTCTGTAGTTGGATGGGATGGTTCCCCTCTGGGGGTCTTTCATGATCAGGACTGTCCTGCCTGTGTCAACAATTCCCCTTAGCAGCCGGGTCATCTGTGCTGCTAGGCATTCATGGAGTGCAGTTAGCTTCTTCAGCCAGTAGGTACAGATTATATCAGGGTCCGGTGCTGTCCAGCTCTTCAGCTTTGACACTCTCTCCTGGATTTCTGCCATTGAGATGGTTACTGGTTCTTGTTCAGGGAGGTTACTGTGGTCAGGTCTTAGGTTCACTAGCCATCGGGCATTGATGTTGTGTGATGCTTCTCGTTCCCATATACCCTTCCAGTATGTGTCCATCTCAGCTCTTGGTGGGTCTGACCTGCTGTTATTTCCCTGCCACTGAGAGAGCGCCTGGCAAGTTCAGTGGAGAACATCCTGTTTATTCTCCTGGCTTCTACTTCTTTGGTGTATCTCAGTTCAGTTCAGTTCAGTTCTTTATTGTCCCTCAAGGGTAAATTTAGTTTGCAGTGCAATTCAACATACAAGGGACAATCAAGACAATGTCAACAACAATCACAACCACAACAACCATGAATAAAATAGATCAGATCAAGCTGTCCATAGAAAAAAAAAATCTATAAGGGAATAAGACCATATGGAGTGCTTATAGACAGTGCAGGCAAATTGAGTCCATCAAGACTCAGTGCAAATTAAGAACATTTATTGCACTTGGAATAAAAGAAAATTTAAACCTATTGCTTCTAACCTTGGGGAGCCTGTAACGCCGGCCAGAAGGAAGAAGAAAAAATTCTCCTGAAAGTGGGTGGTCAGTGCTGGCCAAGATCGACTGTGCCTTCCTATAGACTTGTCGGTTGTAGATATCTGACAGAGAAAGCTGCTGTGTGCCAATTATCTTGCTGGCTACCTTGACAATGTCAGAAAGGCGTTTTTTGTTCTGCACAGTGAGGTTTCCATACCAGCCAATAATACAGAACGTTAAAAAAGACTCAATAAAAGATTTGTAAAATAAAACCATCAGTGTCTTGTCCACATTAAAAGTGTTCAGTCTGCGCAGAAAATAAAGTCTCTGCAGACCCTTTTTGCAGATTGCAGACGTGTTGAAGTCATGATTCAAGTTTTTATCAATGACTGTGCCCAGGTATTTATAGTGCTCTACTGTCTCTACTTGTGAGCCCTTAATGATGGTTGGGAGGGTAGAGGGAGAGTTTTTCCTAAAATCAATGGCCATGTCTTTAGTTTTTAGGACATTTAGCTTCAGAAAGTGGTTGTCGCACCACTCTACAAAGTCTTCCACGACTGGACCATGATCGACACCTTCTTCCTGAAGCAGGCTGATGAGGATTGTATCGTCCGCGAATTTCAGAAGATGCCTGTCCTTGTATTTGCTCTTGCAATCATTTGTATAAAGAATATACAATAAAGGAGACAGGACACACCCCTGTGGTGAGCCTGTGGATGACAGCCGCTTCTGGGAAAAGGCATCATTAGCCCTTACAACCTGCAGCCTACAAGTTAAAAAATCTAGCACCCATTTCACCAGTCCAGCATCAAGATTAAAATCTGACAATAATTTATTGATTAAAATATGTGGCTGGATTGTATTAAAAGCTGAAGAGAAATCTAGAAATAAAAGCCTAGCATGTGTTCTTGTACCCTCAAGATGCTTGTACAGGTAATTGAACAGAGTGATGGTTGCATCATCTACCCCTCTGCTGGCCCGATAAGCAAATTGCATCGGGTCAAGCTGGCTCTGAACCTTTTCAATAAGAATTTGTTTGACCAGCCGCTCAAAAGTCTTCATCACTATTGAAGTCAAGGCTACAGGCCTTAGATCATTAAGCACCTTCGGAGACTTGATTTTAGCCACGGGGACTACTAGACTCCTTCCATGGCATTGGGACCTTATGCTGGGAGAGTGACAAATTAAAAAGATCAGAATAAATGTCACATAATTGGTCTGCACAGACTTTTAGCAGTTTGCCAGTGATCATATCAGGCCCAGGGCTCTTTCTGACATTACATTTGGAGAACATGTGTTTAACAGAAATGGTGCTGATCGTAAGCCGGGGGCTGACAGTAATGTCATTTAAGGAATCAAATATATCACAGTGATCTTTAGTAAAATCATGTTCATTATTAAAACATAAGTAAAAATCATTCAGAGCATTTGCAAGTTCTGAATTTGAGTCAAAACCATCTATTGTGACTGACCCAGAATTCTTCTTCTTATCTTGGCCTGTCATGGCCTTCATACCATCCCATACAGCCCTCAGGTCGTTACTGTGAAACTTCCCCTCTATTTTACTTTTATATTGTAGTTTTGCCCTCTTAATTCCATATCTAACTTCTTTTTTAGCTTCAGTCTTATCCTTGCTGTCACCATGGAGAAAAGCATTATGTTTCCTATGCAGTGCATCCTTTACTGCTTTGTTCAACCAGGGTTTATTATTCGGAAACACCTTGACCTGTTTAGTAGGGATGATTAAGTTTTTCAAATGGAGAGTATAGGATGATATCACCTCAGTCATTTCATCAAGAGTTGAAGAAGAGTGCTTGAAAACGTCCCATTCTGTGCACTCGAAGGCTCCCCTTAGTTCCTCAATAGTATCCTCAGTCCACATCTCCACCTCTTTAGTGGCAGTTTTCCCTCTCTTAAGAAGTGGCTTGTAGGTTGGGATAAGGAGGATAATGTTATGGTCAGAAGAGCCAAGGGGGCAGAGCTATGGACTTGTAGGCGCCCTTTACTGTACCATAGCATAAGTCAATAGTTTTGTCAAGTCTGGTAGGGCAAGAGACATACTGATAAAAAGTGTTCATCGATTTCAGAGTACAGTGATTAAAATCACCAAGGACAAAGCAAGGAGCATCCGGAGAGGGGGACCGGAACTTTTGTGTAACCTTTTGTATGGCTGTTACAGCATTTTTTGCGTTAGCTTTGGAATGTATGTATGCAACAGTGAGAAATATTTGGGGAAATTCACGGGGGAGGTAATGGGGCCGCAGGGACACAGACAACAGCTCTATGTCTTCAGTACACACAGTCTCTCTGACAGTGATGTTCTTGCACCACCGCTGATTGACGTAGAGGCAGACCCCACCCCCTTGGGATTTCCCTGTGACAACAGCATCCCTGTCAAGCCTTACCGGCACTCCAAAACCGGTGAGAGTTAGGTCGGTGTTCAGATCCTCAGGAGTAAGCCATGTTTCTGTAAAAGCCATGACACATGCGTCCCTAAATTTCTCCAGATGAGTGACGCTGGCTTGGATCTCGTCCATCTTATTCCTTATGGACTGAGCGTTGCAGAGTAACATCAAGGGGAGGGGTATGCGGCAAAGTGTCAGCCGCTTCAGTCTCTGCCTGACACCGCCCCGTCTTCCGCGTTCCCGCACTTTGTATCTTTTTTCTCCCCGTGTAGTCCTATTAAAGTTCTCAGGTTGGCGGAAGAGCTCCGCAAGTGAATGATCTCCCGTGACCAAGTCCGAACGGGTATGTGACTGCTGTTGATCCCTCAGATTCAGTAAAAATCCCCGAGAGTACTGAATCCTGCCTGTGTGCGGGTGGCATGGTTCAACCAGACTCTGAGCCACAACAAACAAAGTCCATGCGACGATCAAGAGTGACAGCTCCATTTAAAATTAAGTTAAGTGATCAATCAATGAACAAGCGTAGATCCTACCCAGCTTATTGGTTATTCACAAACGGCACTCAGTAACACTCAAACTTTCAACATCCAGACAGACTGCAACTGCATGTCGCTACTCGCGCAGCGCCAAGCCAGACCAGGTCCCATCTCTTCAGATGGGGAGCTTGTTGTATTTCCTTGGTACCCCTTTATTCACCATGTTACCTCTGTGTAGCTCCGCTAGTTGGCTAACATCTCTCTGTGTTGCCATGCTCTTGGTCTGTAGCCGTCTGTTCCATGGAGGGTTCTGGTTCTTATGTACCATGTCCTTCTTGTATCCAAGCATCTCCAGGATTACTGTTGCTGTACTGTGATGGACCTTGTAGGGATGGTATTTAGGGCAGCATTCACATCTTCTAGCAGATCATCTGAAGGTACTTGGCAACAAGGGTGTGTGTGTATGTGTGTGTGTGTGTGTGTGTGTGTTTGTGTTTGTGTTTGTGTGTGCATGCATGCATGCGTATGTGAAAACTCACACTTACTGATTGTTATGTCCATGTATGGTCTTCCAGAAACATGCGTCTGAGAGCTCCTCTAGTTTTGAACAGAGGCTTCAGGTGGTGCTGCACAGAATGGGCGTGGCCAAAACTCCACCTGCCGACACCAAGACGAGCCAGGTAGGATGGTGTGAGTGTCAGTGTGTGTGTATGCAGGTTTAACAGATTTAGACCATGTTGGCCTGTTAGATGCCGTGAAGTCTGTGAAGGTTCCTTGATGTGGGTCTAAATGTAGCACTTTAATCTGATGTGATGAACAATAAGAAAATGTGAAATTAAAACAGACTCTACCTGTAGTGTCTAAAATGCTACAGCTAGCATCTCATCATCTAAAATGGATGAAATGAAATTCGTACATTTATTTTCATTTAGAATCTCTTAGTCAAAAAATATGTGCAAAGCCTACTTGTGAGGCACTAATTTATTATAGCAGAGAATGTATGGCGACACAGTGGTGCAGTGGTTAGCATTGGCGCCTCACAGCAATAGGGTTCCTTGCTCGAACCTGGGTGGGGGAGTCCTTCTGTGTGGAGTTGCATGTTCTCCCCATGTCAGCATGGGTTTCCTCTGGGTACTCTGGGCTCCTTCCACAGTTCAAAGACTTGCAGGTTAACTGGTGACTCTAGAGTGGCTGTAGGTGTGAATGTGACCTGTCTAGGGTGTAGCCCAGTGTTAGCTGGAATAGACTCCACATATATTTGTGGTGTGTTCTTGTAACAAGAAGGATAAGATCAGCCATTACAAAGTGCAACAGCAAGTTATTCATCAAAAGTTTTGGTAGTTTAATATTGTCTATGTGTCTGTTGTAGAACAAAGATGAGGAGCTGAGAAAGGCCAACTCTGAAGGTAAGTTGTGTGTTTTTAGACATCAATGATTTACGTTTTAAGCAGATCATTTTATATAGTATCTCTCATCAAATCTGAACTTTCAATACTTTCAGACTACACTTTGATTTTTTCCCCCCAAAATAACTTATTTTAGAGTCTTCATCAATTAACATCACAAAATCAAATGAAAAAGTATGGGAAAAAATGTAAGTGATTTCACATTTGCCAGCTTTATGAAACAAAACTAGCCAGTAAGTGTCAGGTTTTAATGTTGAATGACAGCACTTTGTTACAGCCGCATCTTCAGTAAAGCTTCAGCGGATCTGATAACAGCACTAGACCACTTACAGCCATGAGACTTCATTAGACTGGCTTCAGATGAGCCCAGTGTTCATGTTATATTTATTACATGCAGACCCTGGATTAAAATTGACCCTTGGCTGTGCTACTGTCTCTGTCCCTCAGGTGCTATCCTGGACAAACCTGTACCACCTCCCACATACATGAAGCCCAGAACCATGTCCACTTCATCAGGTATCAATATTATCTACCACATATCTGGATAAAAATGATCACAATACTACCATGTGCAGGCCCAAACCAATAATGAGTTAAGCATACTAACTTGTAAGTGTTTGTATCACAGATGTATTTTGGGGGTCAAACAAAACTATATTATCACCCAGGAGACTGCAGTTCCTGTCCAGTTTGACACCAAGAGTCAGAGCTGTTTAAACATTACGTTACAGGTTTAATACAGTTGTTGTGCACTGTTGTTAGTTACTCAACAAACACATTTTAACCCAAACTATGACTTTTTTTCTAAACCCAATCAAGTATTGTTGCCTAATCCTAACTCTTGTCAGGACTTAAATACCAGAACGAATGAGACGGGACCCACAATGCAGATCAGTGAAAAAGTGCTTTATTTACAAAAAGTGCATGCTCTAAAATATCCAGTGAAGTGGCAAAAAAAAACAAAGACAACGACTGGTATTCTGGGCAGATGAAGGAGTCCAGGTGAGGGAAGACATAATGAAGAGGCTGGGCGAGGCAAGGCTGGGGGCAGGCAGGTGGCAGGGCTAGGAGGCAAGAAATATATACAAAGTTAGTTTGAGGCGACAGTATCCAACACACAATCCAAAAACGAGCATAAATCCAAAACCAGTCAAAGATCCAAAAAACCACAAGAGCAAAGATTAATGAGGCCAAGAGCATTACCACTAAAGTTGAAACAACAAACTGGCGAAGAGTGGAACGTGAAGCCGGGTTTTATACTGCATGAAGTGGAGATGAGAAGTAATCAGGCTGATGCTTTGGAGGTGTGCAGGGGAGTGAGAGCAGGAGACTGGTGGCCGCACCCAGCCCTGGGGATGACAGACAGGGAGAACAAGACAACACAAACACATAGCTCAAGGGGAGGGAAAACACAGGGAAAAAACAAAGGCTCGGCCGAATCCTGACAACTGTGACTGTTTCACAGCATTAGCCACATGTTACAATGTGTTTCAGCTGTGTGTCACATTGGCATTTTTTACACAGAGATCGTATGTTAGAGATCGTTATGCCGCCTTTGCAAAAACAAACAACAGCAGCATCATGTTGCTCCAGTGTGTGATTTTAGACAGCATCCTCGCATCACGGAAGCAAAAGAGACATTGCACACAAAGCCCAGTTCAGACCAATGATTCACAATGAGACAAAACCATTTTAGAACAGTGCACACTGTTTATTTTTCCAAGCTATTTAAGGAAATTACAGAACCCCTTTTTATACCAAAACTGTATATGTGCAGGGTGTTCTTAAAGCCTTCAGTCGGGACCAGTGGGCTTAACGGAGCTGAGAACTGCGGACAGGAGGTCAAAAGGTTTTTGGAGACAAACTAACACGTTGTTGATTTGGTCTTTTCATGGGATTTGTTGACAATATAAAAAATATGGAATAACATCAGAGTTTTCCTTTAAGGCTTAAGAGGTTTATGGGGAAAAACCACCACAAGGTTTTATTGGCAATAATTCATCTTTATCGGCATGTTTCCATGAACGCTGTATGACACTCGAAGAATGAATTAAAAAAGACAACAAAATTTTGACATGTTGCACATACAGTATTGGAATGTACAATATATTAACCTGTTTAATGTTGGTTTTAGTCACTGTAATTTACAACACATTTTTGTCTTAGAGTGACACAGGAAAGAGCCAATAACATCATCAGCAGGCCCCTGACCTGGGCTGTGTGGCGACGTAAATGGACTGCGCTTGTATAACGCCTTTCTTGTCTTCCAACCACTCAAAGCACTTTTACACTACATGTCACCACATGTCACCACTACATGTCTACCACTGATCAGGGGTCGGCTGTGACTCAGAGGTAGAGCGGGTGGTCCACTAATTGGAAGATCAACGGTTTGATTCCCAGCTCCTCCAGTCTGTATCCTTGAGCGAGATACTGAACCCCAAATTGCTCCCACTGGCTGTTCCATCAGCATGTGAGTGTGTTTAAAACTGAGTAGCAGGTGGCACCTTGTATGGTAGCCTTGGCCACCAGTGTGTGAATGTGTGTGTGAATGGATGAATGTGACTTGTAGTGTAAAAAGCGCTTTGAGTGGTCAGATGACTAGAAAGGCACTATACAGGTGCTGTGCAGGTCGATTTATCAAGTGTAGGTCCATCATCTGATTAGAGAATGACCTGCTCTACCCACCACAGATGCCCACAGTCATCTCTGGGCCTCTGATGAGAGAACTCAGGAGGGTCTCTGCTGCCGTGCTACATCTGTCCAACTATATCTATCCAACCTGGAGTCACAGACTGGACCAACCTGCATCATTCACAGAGTGTCCACTAGTGATTTACAGTCTCTCGCACCCTCTCTCCCCAGCAGATCCCAGGCATCCTATGAGAGCGCTGGATCCCATCCGACCAGAGCCTCCCCTTCACCCAAAACCTGCCCTCCCCGAGCGCCCCATTGGCCCCCTGCCACCCAAACCTGCTATTGCAGCCAAGCCTCCCATCCCCACCCCGGCTTCTCCTGCAGGAGGAGGAGTTCGTCCCTCCTCTGCTCCTCCCTCCAGCAGCTCTGCAGAAAGAGTCCAGCTCCGAGCACACACTCATGATGGCAGGCCAGGGGAGACCACAGGACAGGTGATACAGCGCTCAGTCCCAACATTTAGACGTAAAACTTCATGCCCAGTGGCAAAGCTATATATTTCTTTTTTAATATTCATCTCAAATGTTTGTTATAAACAAATAACACTGCAGAGAAAAATGCTTCAAAGCTCATGAATATGTGACAGTGTCAGTGAAAACAGTTGAAACATTATACAGCTAGTCATATAGTTAAACCTCTTCTACTCTGCTGGGACGCCTGCGTCCTCAGCCAACATTACTCTCTTTCAGCGGCTATAACAGGCTGAGTTTTAAAGCTGGCGAGAAAATAGCTTGTTGGGAATGCAGTTAAATAATTCATTTTTGGTGAGGGAAAAACCTGCATGGCCATTTTCACAGGGGTCTGTTGACATCTCACTTCAACATATCTGAATAAAAATGGGGCCTATGGGTACCCACAAGTTTCCCCTTTACAGACATGCCCATTTTATGCTAATCCCGTGCAGTGTTTTGCATGCAGTATAAAAGTGTTATTTTTACCTGGTTCCTGAAAAGTGTTGGAATTGTATTAATCAGGTATGACTGGAAAGCTAAACAATTTGTGAATTAAATGAGCCCAATTGTATTATGTGTGATGATGTTAGTCCCCATAGAAGCCATTTTACTGTAGTGACACCATTTTTTTTAAACGGACATCACTGTATAAATGACCTATGGTGACCTCTAGGATAATTACACCCTCATGAACCTTTACAGCCACAAACTAGAGACCTTGAGCTTTCAGGGGATGGATGGCTTTCATAGGTATGTGGACAATAAGGGGGTCTCTCAGCAGTTTCCACAATAGTGGTGTTAGCCATCCATTAATACAAAACAGCAATTCAGGCCAGACAGACACCGACACAAACACTTAAAGGAATCATGGTATTCATGGGTTTCTTTTAATGACAGTAGTCAATATAACAACTCAACAATTACTTGAACTGCACATTGAACTGTACATTGGCAGGGGAAACACTGCATTGACTGTTGACCTGCTGTCAACCCCTAAAGATTCCCTGCCTGTATAAGACAAAATGGGTCTATGGTAGAGAGGGATAGAGTGGAAGAGGTGAAAACATATAATTAAAAAGGTAAATATGAATATAGAAACATAATTTGTTTGTATTGTGGATAAAAATTGGGAACTGCACTAGTACAGGTCACAGGTAGGCAGTCATGTTTAAGCCAGAGTTACTGGTGGCACAGAGAAGTGTTGTATAATCCACAGGGTAACTAGCATATTAATGTAACTAAAAGGGATCTTTTTATGACATCATCAGCAACAGTCTATAGACATTTTAGGCAACACCTACCTCACCGCGTGTGTTTGTGCACAAAGCAACATGAAGAGACTGGAAATGTAAGATTAAAATACTGGACCACTGCTCCCTCAGTAAAAACACAGATTAATGACTGACATTAGTTCTGAAAAAAAAACCTCACCAGCACCTCATGATTTTTGATATGATACTTAGAGAAAGATTGTGCAGCTCACAGTAGTGTGATACACAGAGTGGAGCCCTCTGTTGCACCACATGAGAAAATCAGTTTGAACAGTAAATAACAGTCAATAAAATGTTGTAAGTATCAGTTATCTTTTCATGCCTCTGCACCTGCAATATCTGTGACCAAAGGCATTATGTTTAAGGGTTGTCTTGCTCTGAGACAACAAGGGAGGCTGAACCTCCCCTAATATTTCATAGAAGAAATGGTCAAATATGCACTATTGAATTTACATTAAAATAAGAATTTACATTGCATTAAACGTGTGCTAGGATGCGTTTAACATCATGACTATGATGTTCAAACGTCAGCCGTTTACCACCAGTTTTCAAACGTGACCTCTCTGTCATACATTCTCGTGTCAGCACAGTGGACGCGGAGCCTCCAAGCATTCCTGAGACAGCGCTGAGCAGGTTTTTTTCATGCAGCAAAGTGAGACGGTTATTGGATAAATGCGACACTTCCAGGGAGGCTCAGCTTCCCTGGGACCTAATGGAGCAGTAGGCGGGAGAAGACGCTCAGTGTATGCATGATGATTGGAGGAATAGTCTAAAAGGCGGAACCCCTTTGTGATTGACAGCGCTTTGGACATACACCCTGTCATCGTTGCATTTCGAGCTCAGTCCTATGCGAATATTTGCGAATGCAGTCTTCTGACAGAGTGTCGTCCAGAGTTCCTTATTTCCATAAGCCATAAAGCTCATTTTCACCATTTGTACAGTACAGTTCAGGTGTTTAAACCCATCTGAAAATCTTTGAGGTGTGTTTTATAGGTGTGGTTCTATAGCATGACTGTGGTTGAAAAATGGCTTCAATTAAATGTTCCTTTTATAAGTTACTGCCTCGCTACAATATGACAAATTTTATGATGTAAACTTAAAGTGAGCTTCCCCTGTTTGAAAGACCAGCAGCCGCCACTGGTACATACATATGTCCCATTCTCATGAACACGATATCTCAAGAATGCCTTGACGGAACTTTTTCAAATTCAACAGAAATGTCCACTTGGTGGTTGAAGATCAAAAGTCAAGGTCACTGAGACCTCACAAAACATGTGTTTGGCCAAACTGCAAGAACTCATACACTGATTATGACAAAATTTCTCATATGTCTAATAGAATAAAATGATAAAACGATGACATTTTATATCCAGAGATCAAAGGTCAGCTTCACTGTGACATCATAATGTTCTGCAAAAACATTTTTCTGGCCATTACTCAATGTCATATCTCAGGAACAGAAGGGGAGACATTTGGTCAGGAACTGAATTGGTGACGCTAATCTTGAAACTGTGCTGATTGTATAGATCTTCAATGCTGTCGGGGGGGAGATGTGTGTGAAGCATCCCTGTTTTCACAGATATGAATGTAAAATGTAACTGCAACTTATTAGCAGTATTTCTAGTTTTCTAATGTAATTGAAGAGCTGCTAACCCAGTTTTTTAACTATTTAAAGAGTTGGACTATCACTGGAGAGTTTTACTGTTTCTTGATGCTGTAACTGCTGTTTCACAGTCATTTCCAGTTGTGGGAGAAACAATGAAAACTTTCTGTCAAAAGTGAAATAAAAGTAGAAATAAATACACTCTGTTTTCAGTTTATTAGGTACAGCTAGATGTTGAATTTAATGTTTTGTCCACCCCATTGATATCAGTGAGGGTAGAGTAAATGTTAGAAACACCTCACACACACAATACAAGTCAACAGCAGCACAAACTACAACCTCCAAAGTGATCATAAAGTTGAATAATTCATGAAGCGAGGATTTTTTGCGCGCGTCGTTGGATTTGACTCTGCTCATTTCCATATTGGCACAATTGCTCTCTGCATCCATATGCTCAGTCCTGACATAACAGTCATGTTGTTCATGTCACAGCCCACTGAGCACTCTCTGATCTTCATCCCTAGATTGAAAGCCAGGAGCGGCCTTGGAGTGCAGCCTCAGCCCCGTCCTCCAGGAAAGAACTGCTTCCTCCAGGCCCATCTCCATGGAGGGGTCCCAGCACACAGGATCGCTCTGAGAAAGCACAATCAGTGACCGACGGTACGTCTGGATAATCTCATTCAAACCAGTTCATTCATCCATCTTAGACTTGGGCTGATTTATTACTTAAGGGCTATGAGCTTCCATGAGAAATCAGATGTGGTTCAGGTAGAGGAGGCTCATGGCAATCTGTACCTTCACCATGCTAACAGCCACGCAGTTAACATCTCTGGGTCATTATCACCCTGATGTAACATGACAGACATCAAAGTCACATGTGAAACATGTGAGAGTCACATTAGTAAAGGTGTGAAATGCTGTAAAAGCACCTAGGAAGTGATGAAAATGTACAGGCAGATAAATCTATATTTTACTCAGTAACATTGCATTCATTCAGGTTTGGTTGCACTAACATGTAACATTTAAATGTACATTTACATAAGATTAATCACAATAATAAAAATTGGACTGCAGCATAATCATAACCTCACAAAGTCACCATAGATATACCCATACTAGTGTCATGACAGTTACCGATACACATACAAAAATCATCCTTAGACATATGTAGACATAGCAGACGTACTCGATCACATGCACATACATATACTAGAAGGAGGAGGGCAGACCAGACCACCTGTGACTGGGACAGAGAGGCCACAGTGCGTGGGATAAGGTGCTAGTACATTAGCCGTTCACAAACATAATGGTTTGTGGAACAAATTAAAACTTAGCTCTATTTTTAGTGAACAGAGGGGGCAATATTGTCGCCCTGACAGCAATAGATTCAGTGAGGAGGCAACGGGTGGCCTCTGGTCACCCACAATGTTGTTTGCCTTTCTCATCATTCTGTCTCTATAGATGCATTCCATACTTGGTCAAATAATCCCTAGTTTACTAATGGTTGTAGCAGTTCTTCTGACTTCTGTGCCTCTGTAGCATCACCAAACCAGCAGATGATGCAGAAGGATAAAACACTTTAAATAAAAGCACAATAAAACATTCTGAGCATTTGATTGTGGACATTAAAAGATAACAATTTCTTTAGAAAGTACATCCTTTGTTGTGCCTTAGTGCTTATGAGGTCAGTCTACAGATCCCATATAAGCTTGTGGTCAAGCATGATGCCGAGGTACTTGTAATCTATAACAGCTAGAAATGTTACAATATGATATAAAAAATGTATGAGCCATCATTTCAGGGTTCAGGGTGTCTCTCTCTCTCTCATTCTCTCTTTTTAGTTTGTACGGTGAAATTGACAGATTAGATTTATCATATTACACCTTCTGTATTGTAAAATTCAGTTCGGCAAGTTTAACATTAAGTATCAACTTAAGTAAGTCTGTGTGTGTGTGTGTGTGTGTGTGTGTGTGCGTGTGTGTGTGTGTGTGTGCATTCATTTGCATACTTTCAGAGAGTCTTCCTAAGCCACGGCAACACCTGAAGCCCCTCCCACAACGCAGAGCTGTGTCCGTCCATGAGGACGCTCCAGGCCTGACACAAGGTAAGACTTCTTTAACAAAGTGTTAAATGAAGACATTAAAAAATACTGGTAACACTGAATACGAAAAGCACTAAGAGTAAGGTAAGGAATATAAAAACTGTGTAAGACCACAGTCTGTGAAAGGTTGATGATAGATAAATAAATATAATAAATGTGTAGCAGTGATAAACAACTACTATACATTTGACAGCTGAAGCTCAGTAAGCCTGACAGAAACAGACTACATTTATGAGCTTAGTTTTCTGCTACAAGATTCAAGTTTGAAGAATGCCCACTAAGAACTGCTCCACATTGACTACAGCAGAAACCTAGACGGTTAATTTACTGTTTTTGGTAATGAATGCAAAGAGGATCATGAAGAAGCAATGCAGCTGGGCAACTGGGGAAAGGCTCAAGGTACACTGGAATGTCTGGAGATGAGATCCTGTTCATGTGGTCAGGTCCTTAGGGTTTAATTGGACCAGGTTCTCTGGAGACTTCTATGTCAACTTTAATATACTTATCATAAATTACTCATAAGGGCCTACAACATGACATTGTCTAGGCTGATAATGGGCCAATGGTCAACAGTAGTTTTTACATGGTGACATCAGGAGCAGTAATAAGCAACTTTGTTGTGTCATAGGTTTTCTAGAGAAATGAATAGTAATCTGAAAAAAGAACTAAACAAGCCATTGTGCCGCATTCTTCCTTCCTTTCGCCACCTGCATGTTACCATTTACAAATCTCCTTCGCTACGGAAAACAACAACAGCAACCTCCAAGCTAACAACTTAAAGCTGAAAATGTCACGTTTTGAGGAAGACTTGGATCATGCTGTTGTTTTGGTGAATTGTTATTAAGATCTACATTGAATAAAACAACTTGTGAACGCACCTCAGAAAAGCTCAGACTCTGTCTCAGAGGACTGTCATATCCAATGCTGATTCAATTTCAGAGTTTCAGAGTTGATTTGCAAACATCTTTTTACCATGGCAGCGACATACGCCAGCAACGGCGACTTTACAAATATACTGATCTGTTCCAGGGCGGCACGGTAGTGTAGTGGTGGCCCAGTTGTAGATCAAAACAGAGACAATATTGAGTAGTCTGTGAAGGTATCTCTCCAAATTCATATTGCTCTGGTAGGTCCAATGTAGTCAACACAAAGACATAATTTCAATGCATTTAATTTTTCATTAACATGTCATAAATATGGAACTATATAGAGTGTGTGCTTCCAACACAAAGCTTTCAGGACATTTTTAATTTCAGACCTGTACATTCTACATCATTCATGTAAAATAAGAACTTTTGCTTACTGCTGTAAGGTGCATGCGCAAGTACTTGGTCGGTAGAGCTTCAACTGTGATGATATGGATGTCATGCAGACCACTAGGGCTCACGGAGCAAGGAGAAGGAGCTGACAAAATAAACACAAGTCTTCAAAAGTGAAAGTATTTTCACCGACTGTTTGAAGACGTTGATTGAATGGATACATTTGGTACATATTTCACCTGGATTTGCAATATTAGCTTTCAACTGAGAAATTTGGATGTGATTTCTTAGTTAGGCTCCAAAATGACTATAGAGTATTACTTGCACACTGTTTTGCATAACAACAACATGTGAACGTTCAATCAACGTCTTCAAATACTTGGTGAAAAAAACTTTCACTTTTGAACCTTTTCTGAATCTCTTTTCACCAGTGACCATAAACATTTTTTAAAGCAGCTGTGTGGAACTTTACATTTTCGTTGATTATAGTGCCCCCCTTGGTCGAAGCGGTATGACACCCAGAGCCTGGTGTCGTAAAATCTCGACTGCAACCGGCAATTGAAGAACATGCATTTGTTTTGGAGAGCGAGAGAAAAATTATAAATGTTCTGGTGTAGCTCTGAATTTCTTATAAACTGAGGACAACTGCCTGCTGTATATTTGTGTTCATGGTCACAGTCACAGATAATTTTGTGGCGTTTGTTGTAACGTTACTAGACAAAAGCGGTTCACATCAGCTAACATTACATTTAGCTTGCTTATAGTCTGAGTGGGCGGAAGTTCACTGCATAGATCAGCCTCTCATTGGGCGGAACAAGCCACCCGCTGAAGTCCCGCCCTACAACCTCAGGTTGTGTAGCAGTTTTAAACCGTTTTCAACACGTCCTTTACTAACTTTTGCGGTGTTTGATCTTGCGGGGATGTAGCCATTTTTCTGCCATGGTTCGCGTCCTGTAGGTGATATTTTTGTGGGTGTGTTACACCAAAACCCGGCAATATTTTTGCAAGCGCACCGTTGCTGTGGCACCGTCCAGAACGATTGTGATTGGTTGAAAGAAATACAAGCAGCCGGGGCATTTTTTTCTCCAATCTTAAAGTGAGAGTCGGCCCAGCCAGACCTTTCTTTTCTTGAGAAGGGTCTGGTGAGCGAGACTAGCTTGCTTATAACTTCCATGTCATCATATATTGAAGTAAAACAATGTCTAACAAGTTGCAGTATATTCTCTAAATAAAAACAAAAATTACATACCTGTCGATTGGGAAAAGGGCCAACTCAGGATCAGTTTTAAAACCTTTCAAATCTCTCAGCTCTCTCCACTTGGTGAATGCCCAACCGAGGTTTACACGCGTTTGGGCTTGAGCCCTATCACTGTCTCGTTTAGCCTTCTTCTGTTCTTCTGTTCTTTTTCTTTTAGATGGTGCTCCTTCTTTATCCGCCATGACATCGAAAGTACAACCAAGTCCTTATAGATACATCTGGTAAAACTGTTATGTGTTCAGCAATGCCTGTTGCGTACCGCTTACTTGAAGAACACTCTCTGTAAACACAGCTCTTCTTCTTCTCTCAATTTATTGGCGGATCGCACACAACTTCCAGGTGCATACCACCACCTACTGTCCAAGAATCAATCAATCAATTCAATCAATTTTATTTATAAAGCCCAATATCACAAATCACAATTTGCCTCACGGGGCTTTACAGCATACAATATCCCTCTGTCCTCAGGACCCTTGCTGCGGATAAGGAAAAACTCCCCCCAAAAAAAACCTTTAACAGGGAAAAATGAATGTGCAACATCATGTCATTTAGCCTGTTTCTTAAATCCTACTCGTAAACAAGGCTCCGTCTTCTTCTGTGGTTTAATGGCTGCGGGCCGCTGAGGGCGTGCAGACTTACTTCCACCTCCAGGTGCTGTATTCTGGTTTGCTGACTTCCGCTGTGTCCAACCCGACAGAAACTACGCTAAATAGCTCCATTTATGGAGGGGGGCACTGACGGCCATGTTGGGAACCAGCAACTAAAAAACACATATTTTACATGGACTGTTTTGGCTGAATCCACTAACTGTGTCTTCTAATGTATGGTTGGCATTTAGAGGTTGTTTTCACACATGCTCTTAAGCCACTCTGTCTCCTTCTCTCTCAGAGCTGAAGGCAGTGTTACAGAGGTCACCCATCCGTTTCCGGGGCAACAGAGGGGACCTGCCCACCTGCACTGAAGATCCATCTAGTGGGGGGGAAGTACAAAGAGCTCAGAAGGGTGAGAGAGGTGTTTATCACTGTCTTAACTTCAATCTCTGATTATCATATCCTTTGATTCTGTTGTTTATCTTTCTTTCTGCGATCTAAACACATCTGTCTGTATGTTCCTCATCCACCCAGCCACTGACACAGGGAAACAGACAACTGAGCAAAAGAAGGAGGCCACTCAGAAGGAGGAGCTGAAGGCCGAGGGGGGAAGGACCGGCTGTGAAGGGACATTAGCTGAAACCAAGCATCCCCCTCCAGCAGAGGAGGAAACCCCAGGCTCAGGATGTCCCTCCTCTAAAGCTCAGGCTCAACTAGAAACATCAGTACCCCGACTTGTCAGTCCAACTGCAGCCCTTGACAAAGCCCCTTCCATCCTGGAGAGGCCTCCGGCACTAACCCAAACCCTGGAGAGGCCCCCTGTAACCCCCACATCTGAGAAGAAGAGCCCCAACACAGCCTCAGCTTTGCCCCAAACTCTAGAAAAACTGCTGGTGTCCCCACCACCCCAAGAAAAGACCCCCAGCACAATCCCAGCTACATCTGAATCACCAGAAAACCCCCAGTTGAGCTCTCTGTCCCACAAGAAGAAGAGCCCCGGCACAGTGCCAGCCACAGTGGATGTGAGAAACAGCACACAGGAAAGAGGAGAGGCGGTCTCTAAACAGCACACAACGAAGGCAGAGCCAGCAGACCAAAGAACTGAGCCCCCTCTGTCTGAATAACACACACACTGACTTACCTGAGGAGAAAAGATGCACCTGGGATGGAGGGGAGTTAGGGGTCTGTGACATCATTGAGATCAGGAGCTGGGAGGGTAATGAGGTCTGAAAAGAGCATGAATGTTGTACCCTCCTGTAGAAAACAGCTGCTGTGTCCCAAGTCAGGGGTGTGGAAAGTCTGAGAACTAAATGCAGAGTATGCAGCTGGTGCTAGCTGACCGCTAACATCTGTGCAGTTGCTATACTGGCTGTCAGAGGTGAATAAATACAGACTGCACAAACGGTTTTGTTGTGGTCTGAAAATAAATGTTCTTTTAAATGTTGTTTTTTTTATCTCTATGAGTTGAGTACTGAATTGCAGCATCTGTTTCAGTTTGTGTGAGGCACGCATTATTGGTATGAATCTGACCGCTGGGTTGCTATTGCGGTTGGTGCTTATTAAACAGCAAATGTACAGATGTCAGCTGTGGCTAGCTAGCAACATACCGTGTGTCTGCAGAGTGTGTCTTAGTGTGCTGACTGTCATCTAACTGATGTCAGAAATATCCAGGAATTTTATTATAACTATATTCTCGTCTCTGTGCAGCGATGAACTAGCACCGTAAAGCTGCAGGTGAAGCAGTAACTTTTCACTCAAGTTGAAACATGTTGAACTCATTTAAAGGTCCAGTGTGTAGGATAAAGGGGATATATTGGCAGAAATGGAATATAAAATAATAGTTATGTTTACTTTACTGTGTATTCACCTGAAAATAAGAATAATTGTGTTTTCATTCATTTAGAATGAGCCATTTTTATAGGGAATGCATCCTTGTTTATAGAGATCGCCATGTTGCACCGCCATGTTTCTACAGTTATCGTATCCTCATAGTATGGTTAGTATGATATCCTGCGACTCAGCGCCCCACGAATGACATTACATTCTTAATGTACAGTTATGTAATTACATAAAGTTAAGAGGCAATCAGTGTTACTGTGGTTAGGGTTAAGAGAAGAAACATGGTGAGGACATAACATAAAATGAGTTTACACAGTTCCGAACACCAGTCTCCTGGGGAAAGTCCAGTGTTTTGTGACACATCTGCTGCCCCAACCTGCCTCCTCATAGACTGCCTGGGACCGCTTCCTTGTTTACTAGCATCAGCACATTGGTCACGTGATAGCAGCCTTCCAAAATATGTGGGTTATGCACAAATTACTGGCTCATGTAATAGCCCATAACAGAAAAACTTAACACCGGCTCTTGATAGGGCCATTCATGCTTTACGTTTTTGCATTTTGGTGTTGGCCACCGTGGTTAGAAGCCCATCTGCGCCCAGCAGCATCAGAGAAACACTGATTTGTATAGTCAGCACGTTTACGTGACATTAGAGAAAATCAATTTATTCTGTTATTCTGACTAAAACCGGACTTTTGAAATACTTTATTCAGTGTTTTTACCAGTAAAAAAAAAAAAAAAAGGAATCCTAACCAGGATAACTTTCAGCTGGTTGAAATCTACAGTCCTCACTGCCAAATGCTCCTAAATCCCCCTAAATCTTACACACTGCTCCTTTAACTTACTGTCTCAGTTCACACCACTCAGGGTGAATCTGCATCCACTTGCATCTTTGCAGTGACTAATATGCAACTGTTTCATTCCCAACATTGGGGGTGAAACAGTTGCACTGAGTCTGAACACACCTTTAAAACTCAGTATAGTTTATGCCTTTAAGAAGGCCTGAAATGGGACACAGCTAGCCACAGCTAAATGAGTGAATTGACAGGAGCATCAGCTAGGTGGTTGTGAAATCTTTATTGTTCGCTCTCCACAAAAGGATGGCTCATTTAAAAAATGTGAGTGTAGTTCATTAACACATTAGGTTTCAACACATCACGTCAAAGACACACATTTATATCACCTGCTTATACATGTCATCATTATGATTTGATAAGGGGTTACAAGGCCCACAATGTACTTTATGATTCTGTGATTCACTTTGCCTTCTTGATTTTTTCCAGAATATGACCGAGTTTCAGGAAAAAGACCTCTTCAGTTACATTGACACGTTTCATTGTGACTTAGCTGATTTAGCTCATTTGCTCCCATTGATTTTTTAATTGGGGATTTTTTTTGATGTTTAAATCATAATGACTCAAAATTTTGTTTGCATGATGTTTTAAATTCCACTTTTAAATCCCTCTTAATCATCTGCTTATTCCCCCCCAATTGTCCTGATATTTGTATTGAATTGCCATTTTGTGACTCTGACTGACTTTTGTTAGCTTTGTGGGAGGGAGGTTTTTTGCCCCAAACCAGTCACTGTGACATCCATCCATTCAATGCTGTGTTAACATTAGCAAATATCAGTTAGGTTGTATTGATCTGTTTTGCAACATAACAGTCATGTTCATATAACTTCTTACTACTACTGAGGTCCTGCAGTTTAGGTCACAGTCCCTAACAGCTGCCATACAAGAGGCAGAAATAAGCTTTTTGTCCTGTTAGCATAAACCGACTGCTGAGGAAGCTAGTTTTACATTAGATTAGTTTTTCACTATGCCAGACACTCATTGTGTAAACTGTACAAATAGAAGAAGCACAGTACCAAATTCATATTTCAGTTACCTTGTTTCCTTTTTAATTAACATCAGTGAGATTTATAGATATCAGGAAATAAAAGTACCATGCTCAGGGAGATAAAGTTACTTCATAAGAAGGGACCATAATGGGTTTTGTGAGCTCCAAAGAGTTCACAAGGCTTGATACCTTTATGCAGTGAGTTTGAAGTTAGAGTTTATTGTGCTCATACTATTTTTGGATGCATTTGCTCAATTTAGCTGTTTTCATTTTACATGATAACAAGAGAAATAGTATAGTTATCATAAAAAAATCTCTTTTTTAAAGTAAAGTTTCTAGTTATACCTTGACAATATCTTGTAAAAAAAAATTGTGAAAAACACCTTGTTATAACAGGAAACTTTTTATGTTATTACCTGATAATGATCAGTGTTTTTTCTGGTATGGCTGCAATACGCTTCCATACTTACTGATCAATATACAGGTATTACAACATAATATTTTCATAGGCAACGTACACTATGCTATCTATAGCCAAATGAAGCATGATGCAGGATGTATGTATGTTTGTCATTTACTGACTAAGAAGCACATTGTGTGGGATGAAGTCATCAAGAGAAGGCACATCAGCAGCTGCACATATTTTTTCATAATGTAGTTTTTTTTCTCTTTTTCATTACTTCATCAGTGTACAGGAGGTTCATCTCTAAGTCACTAGATTCAGCTGTGGGTATGTTTTGCTATTTTTAGGCATATAAACAGGTGTCCTTTGCATTGCTATATAAATGACACCCCAGATCCATTGCTTCCGTCACTGCAGGACCTCAGTAGTGCATAGTCCTTGTCCAACAATACACTTTGAATACCATCTCCTCATGTACCAGAGGGGCCAACTGTAAAATTCAAGGTTTGTGAAAACCAACAGGTAGAACAGCATGAATACCTTTCCTTTGAGGAAATGCCTCCTGTTTAATGTTCTTATTTAAGAGTTGTTTTTTCAGGGTCCATTTACTAAAGTCTTGAAAGCTGCATCACTTTCATCCAGTCTGGTCACCGTATTTGTTTAGATTTTGCCGATCATGGCACAGTTAAGGCGCATTTATACTTAACGTACAAAATAGATTTGTCCCTTTCAAATGTAAATGTCACTGCTCTCTTACTTCCGTGTGTCCTGTATGATGGCATAGATACAGCCAAGAGATGGCACTAAAGGGCAGAGTCAAAAGTTTTACGCAACAAATATGGTGACGTTGGAGGAGGTCGTTGGAGGAGGTTGTAATAATGTACCCATAAACAGAGGCAGTGTTGTAGAGGGTGGAGAACTGTGAGGCCATTAAAGGGATAGTGCACCCAAAAAAGAAAATTCACCCATTATCTACTCACCCATATGCCGAGGGAGGCTCAGGTGAAGTTTTAGAGTCCTCACATCCCTTGTGGAGATCCCTGGGGAGAGGGTGTAGCAACATAACTCCACCTAATGGAGGCTTATGGCGCCCAAAAACACATAAAAGACACCAAAAACACATAATTGAAACCACAAAATATCTCCATACTACTCGTCCGTAGTGATCCAAGTGTCCTGAAGCCCCGACATAAAAAGCTGTTTGGAAAAACGTCATTTGAAGTCTGTTTTTAGCCGCACTCACGTGAGCATGTGCACGTGCACAGAGAGGCAGTTAGAGCTACAATGAGGCTAAAAACAGACTTCAAATTATGTTTTTCCAAACAACTTTTTATGTCGGGGCTTCAGGACACTTGGATCACTATGGACGAGCAGTATGGAGATATTTTGTGGTTTCAATTATGTGTTTTTGGACGTTTGAATCTGGGGCACCATTAGGTGGAGTTATGTTGCTACCCCCTCTCCCCTGAGATCTCCGCAAGGGATCTGAGGACTCTAAAACTTCACCTGAGCCTCCCTCGGCATATGGGTGAGTAGATAATGGCTGAATTTTCATTTTTGGGTGCACTATCCCTTTAAATACACCGCAACATGTGAACGGAGAATTCTTTTTATTTTTAGAAAATGTCCTCATCGGGGCACCCAGTAGGTCAGTGGTCAGAGCGGTCATCCCATGTACAAAGGCATTGTTCTTGCTGTAGCATCCGTGGATTCGATTCCAGCCTGCAGCCCTTTTCAGCATGTCATCCCCGCTCTGTTCCTCTATCATGCTTAAGTCTGTCCTGTCAAATGAAGGCAAAGCCAAAAAATTGTCTTCACCATCTCCTACAGTTGTATTTCACTTGCTACACTGCCTCCACAATCACAGCTGGTACTGCTTTGTTTCACTAGTATCCATAGGGCTAATTTATGCTCAACGGTAAATATGGACACGTATGGAGCCTATAGTCCACACTCTGCATTCATTTTGCCTGTATTTGTGCAAATTTTCTGAGAGCTTACTGATACAGACAAAAAGGAGCAGTACCACTGGAGATTGTGAGGCAGTGTAGCAAAGTTCAAGCCAGATGTGATTGTAGGAGTCAGTCAAGAAATTGATTTAAATAATGGTGGAATGGAACCAATCAGTAATATAGTGAAAAGAATTTTCTGTTCACATGTCGGGATGTAGATCATGGCTGCACAGACCACCACCTACAAGGCATAATATTATGACCTCCTCCACCGTCACCTCGTTTGTCGTTGTCAGAAACTTTGACTCTGCTCCCTCTAGTGGCATCTATTGGCTGTATTTATGCCATCATAAAGGACACATAGCAGTGGCATTTACAACGTTTGAAAACAGACGCATCTTTTCACAAAGGCCTTGACTGGCTCATTTTTTATCCAGTAGGGGAAACATCCAATCAGGAAAAGCCTTTGAATTGGTCACTTAAATTTTAAATTTGGGTGGCAACTTGGAGGTTTGGAACCAGACTAAGATTAAGCTACATAAAGCTTAAGGTTTTGCTGTAATTAGATATTTATAGATTTTTCGAACAATACCTCCCATATTTTCTTACAAATTCTGCAATAACTTTAGAGAGGTGAGGTGGCTCCCAGTATCTTGGGAAAAAAATACAATTAAAGAAATTAGCCCAATTTCTCACAATTTGTTTACAAAGAAAATGATGTCAAATCCATTTCCTTTACACAATGTCTTGGTCCCATCATGTTATCCAGGTGAAAAAAATATCTCTTGCCTTGTTAAGATGTTTTCATATTAAACCTTTAAGAATCTCCAGATTAACACATGGGACACTAAAGCTCTGCATGTTTCTGCATATTTCCGTGGAATCACTTCAGTGTGTGACATTGAGATCAGTTCAGGTTCAGTCATTTCATTACACAACCACGCGTGTAATAACCATATCCATCATGTCACAGGAGAACGAGATAAGATCCTCATAAAAGACCAATATATGATCAGATATTGTAAGATAGCAACAGAGTGTAATCAGTCTATCAAACTCTCAGGGTGGCTGTGGAGAATGGTGTGTGTTTTGTAAGACCTCAGTTCAGCTCCCTGTGGTGTCAGCGACCTGAGCCTCCATCTCATCCCAAGGGAGAATTTATTTTCTACCGTCATGTTTATCTTTGCCTTGCACGCACAGAATATGTACAAAATTACATAAAGCAAACAAAAAAGTTATGAACAGAGTGTAAATCCATAACTATACTTGTTAATTATTAAAATTATGAGTTGTGTCATAATTTTGTACTCTCTTTTTTTATTTTGGGTGTGTTATTTAATATCTTGTGTCTCTTTGGGGAAGCTTTGTCAAGTCTGAGAAAATAATTGTGATGATGTCATAATGATGTCAGCAGGGTTACATACACTTTAAAAACAAAAAACCTGCATTACAAAACTGGGGAAATTTTATTGTCAAGAGTCTTGGAGGTTTCTTCATGTGGATATATATTCAACACTGGAAGAAAAAAAAAATCTAAAGCAGTGGCTCCCAACTGAGTTCAGGTTTTTCATTAGTCATTGTCAGTTCAAGGTCCACACAGTTTTATATATTCAGCGTCATTCTTGGGTTTGGTCATGTTGTCCAGTTAGTTTGCTGTCTCTGTCAAATAGTTGTCCATTAGTCACTCACTCTACAGCAGGAAACTGATACTTCAAAATAAAAGCTCTGTGACCGAAATTGACTGTACTTCAGAAGTGTTATTTATTTATTTTTTTTTACAAACTTAACACATCCGTGAACCACTGTAGTCTGTTAAGAAAGGACCAGTTGGGAACCACTGATCTTAAGGCCATCCATTCATCCATCCATCCATCCATCCATTATCATCCACGTATATAGGTGTGGATTAAGGGGGCAGCAGGCTAAGTAAGGCATTCCAAACACCCCTTTCCCCAGTAACATTTTCCAGCTCCTCCTGGGGGATCATCAGGCATTCCCAAGCCAGAGGAGATCCAGTGTCTTCTGGGTCTACCCCAAGATCTTCCACCAGTTGAACATGCTCAGATACCTCTAAAGGGAGGTGCCCAGGAGACATCCTGTTCAGATACCCAGACCACCTCAGCTGTCCCCTTTCAACACGAAGAAGCAGTGGCTCTACTCCGAACTCCATCCAGATTTCTGAGCACGTCACCATATCTCTAAGGCTAAGCCCAGCAACCCTGCAGAGGAAACTCATTTTGGCTGCTAGTATCATTCTTCCTATCACTACCCAAAGTTTGTGACCACAGGTGAGGGTTGGAGCATAGATTGACTGGTAAATCAAGAGCTTTGCCTTCCAACAAAGGACTGGCACAATACCTGCAGCACTGTTGATGCTGCACCGATCTGCCGGTCTATCTCACGCTCCATTTTACCCTCATCATTATACTTAAATTCTTTTACTTGGGGCAGTATCTCACTCCCAAACCAATCCACTGTTTTTTCAGCAGAGAACCATGTGCTCAGACTTGGAGGTTCTGACTCTCATCCCGACCACTTCACACCTTGCTGCAGTGCACGCTGGAGGTGATGGAATAATGAAGCCATGAAATCCCTCAAGAGACTGGTGTTGACCCATCTGAAGGACATCACAAGCACCTCACGTGAACCCTGCAGTTTGCCCACTAGGAAAACAGGTCACTGGATGATGCAGTCAACGGCACTACATCCTGCAATACCTTGACTCTCTGGGGACATATACAAGGATCCAGTTTGTGGCCTTCATCTTGGAGTTCAACACTAGCATCCCAGACATCCTTTACACTGAATCCAGCTCACTACCCCAGCCTCCACCGGTTGGTGGATCATAAACCTGTAAGCAGCAAGTTAGGCTGAGGAAAATCACTTCCAGCATCTGGAACATCTGCACTGGTGCGCCCCAGTGTTGTGTGCTCTCCCCACTGCTCTTCTCCCTCCACACCAATGACTGCACCTCAGGAGACCAGTCTGTCACAAACTCCTGAAGTTTGCAGACAACACAGCAGTCATCTGCTTCATCCCCCACTGAACAACACTGTGTCTGCTGTGGCATCCTTCACATTTCTGAGGTCAACCATCCCTCAGGACATAAATTGGAGAACCAACATTGACACTATCAGGAAAAAAAGTCCAGCAGAAGATATACCTTTAACCAGCCACAACTCAACAACAGCACAAGCTGCTGAAAAATCCAGTCTGTTCTCTGCACATCCATCACGGTTTAGTTTGGATCAACCACCAAACAGGACAGGAACAGGTTGTAGCAGACAGTCAGAACTGCAGAAGAAAATCATGGTCGTCGATCATCGACCTTTGGCCTAAGAAGTTCTGGTACCAAATGAAGCGACCCCAGCAAGCTAGTTCAGGCAGTCAACTCGAGCTGCACTGATTCACACACACGTCATACCTCACTCTCAATGTCATCTACAAAACATACCCTCCCAATCTGGCAGTTTAAGCTGCAAACATTTCCCAGCTCTCCTTCTACCTTGTCAGTGTAGATGCTGCCCTGCATCAGTATTGCTGCCTGCTCTATCAGCTCAACCTCCACCCTAGCACCTGCAGGATTCGGCTAAAGGGGGAACATATTTGATCATTGCTCCTCATGTAAACATATTTGCAGGGAGAGATGAGGCCAAAATCTGGACACTAAACTCAGACTATGTTCTGCCATTGAAATAAACATTTCAAAGGTTAGCTGTCTGACTGAAGTACACTTGTAAACCATTCCATGCTCAAACATGGTGTTTGTTATGACCAATTCATGACTAGGACAGTAGTCCAATAACAAAGCATCGCCCAGGTTATGATGCCAGATGTCAGCTTGCCAGGCCCCAACCTTTGCCTTCCACCAAGTTTACACTGCACTTGACCCCAATACCCATCCCTGCAAGGTGTGGGTCCAATTGGTGGCAGCTTCATGAAGACTTTTCAGGCAATGCCTGGCCAAGCCCCAGGGGTCAAGGCCTGACACCACAGGCGAGCTTCCCTACCAGGTCTGGCTCCAGGAGTGGGCCTTTATTTCTCTTTTCCAGGCAAGGTGCAACATCTCCTCTCTGGTTGACTCATGTAGACTGTTCAGACTTGACAATATAAACATTCTGCATGGGTCTCTTTGTATTTCTTGCTGGTATGTTTGTCAATGCAGTAGTTCACAGGAAGTAAACGGTTACAAAAGCTGTTGCTCTAGAAACAGAATAGCAATGAAATGGTCTATTGGGTTTTTGAATCACTCTTAGTCTGGGCCCTTCCCCCAGACCACTTTGCTCAGACCCTACCAGAATCTACTGCCCCTGACAACACAACTCTCAGGACCACAGGGACATAAAAACCTCTCCATCACATTAAGGTGGTGATTCTTGGAGGATAATCTAAAGCACAGATTTACCTAATTTTGCATTGACTTTAGCTGAGCACAGCCATGCCCCCAAGAGGATAAGCCACTTTGATTCTAATGACCCCGTTACCTTTCTCCTACACACTACATATTTAGCCCCACTACCGGTGTAATCCTCACTTGATGTTTCTTACAGTAACAGATGAGTCAGAGGCTTCTGGCACAGTGGGTACTGTAGGTAACATGGCTCATGTAGAAAATAGCTGTAAATTCTCACATTTGTCTTCATGTTCTTTCTGATTGTTTTCACTCACAATATTAGTTTTAGTCACAGCATGTTCCACACAACACGATTCCCATTGTTTTAATCTTAACTATGCTCCATTTCTGTCATACCTCCCACTGGGATTATTATAGTTCCAGTTTTTGAGCTTGTCGTGTCAAAGAGCAGCCAGGCAGCTCCCAGTTGGTGGCTTAGAGCTGGGCTCATGTTAAATACTGTACAGTAGGATGATACTGAAAGACAAGACCGCTGCAGGCCTAGGACACAGCGTACAGATGGAAATACACTCTGTGTTGATATATGAGATTGTCCTTGGACTTCATCTTCAACTAGACTTAAAGCCTGTCAACAGAATCCAACACATCTACTTCAACTGGGCATAACAAGGGAGAGTAAAGCAACACTTTGTCCAACTCAACATAACATGGGTATGTTTTAGAGCTTTTAGCCCACTGTCACCAAAACAACCATTACATCCTGCACTAATGACGTAGTCCTTGTCGGGGACGCATCAGAACACATTCCACAAAAGATATGTGGTCAAATGTGTCCCAGACCACCTTGGCAAGTGGTTTGAGTGATCGTATCACGATGTGTTTTGGTGGCCATTTAGATTTATATTTAGCGCTGTCCACTTATGATCAGATCACCAAAAACGCATGTTAGTACCAGGTCTAAACGGGGCCCTAGTCACACATTATTATCTGGCCTGGATATGAACTGCAGTTAAAGGAGAAGAGGACTGATTGAAGTTGTGACTTCACAGTAGAGAAGGAACGTCTCACCATTAAAACTTCTAACCAAGCTGAAGTATTGTCCATTGTGCAGGGCATTCACATTTTCAACAGACTATGCACTGCATTAAATGTCACAAGCCAAGTAAACAAGCCACATAGGGGGTTATCAGCTTATCAGTAAAGCAGGTTCAGTCATCTTGCTGACAGCAGATGCAGATTCAAGCTGGAACTTAGCTTTCAAGAGGCTGGTAAGAGGATAACTGGGATACCATAGGATGGGCTCAAGGCTGAATACTGTACAGTAATTAACCCTCTGTTTCTGCTCAGCTCTATTTTTAAGGAACAGCAGGGAACAAAACAGTCATGTGGGAGGAGATGGGGAGGGAGGGAAAGGAAGCAGCAGACAGGTGCTAAAACTTAATTAAAAACTCTCTCTCCTCTGCTGTTCTCATCACCTGATTTGAAAATGTGTCCAAGCGAAGCATCTTTCAGTGTTCTTGCAGACACACGCTCCCGTTTTAGATGTATTTGGTCATAGAGATTATGGACACCAAGGGTTGGATCTGACCTGAGGGCACAATCTCGACATGCAGACATTGAATACACTTTATTTGAATGTGCTATGGTGTAGCCTGTGTGTTGTATACAAATGTACTTTGTTCAGTCACAAAAACACCTATACATGGGATTTATATCTTGTTGTCTGCAGGGACAGAGTAGCAGACAATATACATCAACTTGCATGAGTAATAATACAGCAGCAATCACTGTGTATGTGACTGTAGTTGTTGCTCAAAAGTTCCCATGGCAACCAGTAAAACAGACTTGAGGCCTGTCTATCAGTGGCTTGCAGTCTCTGCTCTTGCAGACTTTCCATAATGCCAGTGAACACATCACAGTATGTACGACTGAGGCCCTCGAGGGCTAAGTCAAGTCCAGAGGGTGGACATTTGGATTCAGCTAAACTGTCAGTGGTTCTCACTACATCCAAAACACTGATGATGTTTCATCCACATTAGCACAATAACTGCACCGAAAATAACACATCAGACAACTCTGCCATTTAAACACATTTAATATATCTTATAGTCCACAAAAGAGTTGGCAGCTATACAATAATATAAAGGAGTATACATTTAATATATATATCGTGTTTTAGAATCTGGACTCTTTGTTTGCACGAGAGTATCTCATCTTTAAATTATAACTTATCTGTCTGCAGTTTCACATTTCACTTCTAAAAATAAAACCTCTGAAGGGCTTTATGAAAAACAACAGGCATCTAAAATTCATTAGGTTTTTTTTTTTTCTTCTCAAAAATACAATTGTTTCCATAGTCACAGAAAGTGAAGAACAGCTCTTTGGCTAGCTTTCATACAATTTCCTCTGCTCTCATTCAAAGCAGAAATGACACATATCTTAATCCCATCATGAAGAGCTCCAACACACTGTAGAAATGTTCAACCTCAAACAGAAACAGAGAGTATAGTTTTAGCTGTGAACACAGAACTCGTTTCTGCCGTAAACTGTTTTAAATGCAACCTGCTGATAGTGAGGTCTGTGGATTATCCTGAGTTACAGTAAATTGGATGGTGTTTTTGGACAATTCAGATTTTCAAATGTCATGTTCAAAGCTTTGCAGATTACAAACCAAATTCCATTTACCTCTGTGCTTTAAGTCTCAAAGTTGGAGACCTCGCAGCCTCAGCTAATCAAATCCAAATTGTCTGGGTTGATATGTTTGGATTGGTTTGGGTATCAGGTAGAAGGTGCTGTGTGATCTCAGTTAGCTGTGTATGTAGTTTGTGTTATGCCAACTGTATGATATACTTTACATACTTTCATGTGCACCATTAGTGAGTCCTTTTAAACATGCATGTAACCAAACAAACACACCACCTCTGTTACCCCTTCTTCACCACAGCTTTGTTGATGACACATTCTTGATTACAATGGCTCTGAAAAAACTGGTAGAAACGCAGGCTGGTTTGCAAGAGAGCACCGAGGCTTCAAGAATCCTATAGGAACCAGTTCAACAACCAGAGCTAATTTGGTGGAAAATGGGTATGTGAAGTGTATGAGGTTAAGGTTTTGTGTCAAAGAGGTGCTGATTTGTTCTGGAACCAGGGATTGTCAACACAATGGCTACAGCATTCTGTGTGTGTATGTGTGTGTGTGTGTGTGTGTGTAGTGTAACTCATTACTGATCCCATTAAAGTCTGGCACCGGACTTTAATATGATGTCAGACGGACGTTAAATTTTGGTTGGAATGAAAATCAGGTTGATGATACTTTAAATGTCTGATGACATTAGAATTTCACGTTGTGTGGATGTTAACAACACGGTTTCCCGAATATTCATTTATTTATGGCGGCCCGCCATGATAAAAACATCTGCCACCACAAATAGATTTTCTATTTTTGGATCTGGACCGTTGATTAAGAGTGCTGTAGGAATATATAAACCATCTGGTTATTTACAGCACCACATTGTCATAGTACAGAGCATACTTGGGGCAGAGACTGAGCAGCACAACAGCAGGCACATTGAAAATGAAACTTAACCATTCATTCTGCTGGGTCCAAATGCATTCACTTGCAGCAGCTGCTCCTCTCATACATAAATCTGACCTGATCAGCTCTGAACGAACTGATAGATCAATTATTTATCCCGCGAATCACAAAGTGCAGCTGAGGACAAAAGGAACTCATGTAGAGTTCTGCATGCCCTGTGTTCACTGACCCCCAAAAACCTGCGAATTTAGAGAGGGGACACAGAATGATAGAAAGAAACACACAGAATAAATGTTGTCCTGACACTGAATTTTGGTCACCCAAAGTCAACCTAAATATAACCAAATACTGTAATCTAAGAATGCTGGTGGCCAGCTGGGAGCTTTACAAAAACAAAACCAACAGTGCTGTGTTGTACCTCTGTTTGATTACCTGACCATTTTCAGTTTTTAGACTAATTCTCCACCTTTCAGACAGACATTAGTTTTCATGTTGTCTCATTATAATATGAAAATCAACTTGCATAGACAAACTGGCTGCAGATACTACAGTTTATCCAAAGGAACACTCACTACATTTACATGTACAAAATGTTCGGGTTCTGGCCTCATTCCAAAAACGACAATATTCCCACTAAACTGTTTAAATGGCTAATGAAAATGAATATTCCACTAATATCCCTTTTTATCTGTTGTACTGTTTTATCTATTGTACTCAGAGTAACATGCCCTAACATGTTGTTTATCATGTCAAAATGTAGGAAAGTGTAACGACTGGAGCAGCTTGTGCCATTTTGCTTCTCTGCATCAAAATAGGATTTCTTTTCTAAGTTTCCTACTGGTGGTGGACTTGTTGGACCATGCAAACACAGCCTCCCTTTTATTCCTTAAGCCACCTTTATGAAAAGGCTGCCATTGCATTATTTGTACATTTTCAAAAACCTGTTGATATCCAAGTCTTCCATAACGTTTAAAAGTTGTTCCGACCAGAAATGTGGGCTTTTCTTCTCTTTCTTCTCTACACCAACCTTGCAAACTGTTGGAGAGTTGGTTTGTGTCAAATGTAGCCATGACAACACACATATCCAACTGTAAATCACAGACTGTATGTAATAATGGCCGTAGGGACCTTGACATCACTCTGGATCTGACTTACAGAGGGCTGCAACGCCTTGCAGACAGCAAGCTCAAGTGGCCCTGCTCTAAAATATGCATAAGTTGGGCTTAAACAAAATGTAAATGGATGAGTAATAAAAAAGATTCACCCCCTGTACAGCTGTCATGATATGAGCTAAGGAGCATGTTGATATGAGCTAAGGAGACCTAACTGTTTGTTGTACCAGGCTGTAAATATATTTATTTCTGCTGTTAAGTTGGGCAATTTAGCATGGGAGTCTATGGGGACTGACTGGCTTCTGGAGCCAGCCTCAAGTGGACATTAGACATGTTGGACATGTCTTAATCAGAAAATGCAAAATTCAGAAAAAGGCTTAGTGTGGAATATGCAATTTACAAAATCCAACAAATACAGAATATTGTCAAATCGGAATATTAGTGGAATATTAGTGTAGCATGTAAACATAGCCAGTGTCACATGTCAACCCTCCAGCTCTACATGAACCATCCATGAATGAACAATTAAACAGCCAAGCTCACTGGAAATGTTCCTATTTGTGCAGATTTGATGTCCTAGTGTAAAGAGGTGTAAACATCTGTTTTAATATTTACCTTTACTCTGTCTGGTGTTGGCAGTGCTCTACAGCACCCCAAAGCAAGTTGGTTTTCATAGTGTACTGAAATAAACTGAGACAAATGTCTGAGTGGAAGGAAACTCGTCTACAAAGTGACAGTTCTCTTTGGAAAGTGGTGAGCAGTAAAACACTGGTGATTTGTAAGTCAACAGAATAACTCATAAAGGGTCCTTTAAGTTGCCTTCCATGTACTCTGTGCTTTGTTTTCACTTTGACTAAACAAATCCCAACTTTCCATAATTCACCTCCCATCAGAAAACGTAAACAGGAACAGGTTGGACTGTGTGACGTGAATATCTGTAATAATGACGGCTGTCTCAGGAATTGAATCTGTTTCCACCTCTATGTCTCCGTGGTCACTAAGCCTCATCTTCACTGTCTGAATGAGCTGGCTCTTCTGGCTGGAATAAGGGATTGTGGGCCAGTTTGTGCAGATCTTCTGGAGCAATCTCTCTCATCTTTCCATCCATACCGAGCTGCATGGGCTGGATCAAATTGGTCCTGCGGGGAGAAATGGTTCAAATGTAATAATGTGTGCATGTGTGAGTACAGACTGAGTTGAGTATTGCCACCACATGCCTCCGGTTATCATTTCTTTCTATGTATTCTTTATCATTTCAAGTTATAACAAACTGACAGATACACATATGCATAAAATCAAATCAAAACTCAAATCAAGCTACTCTAAGTTTTTCTATTGTGAAAGACAACAATTTTGAATTTAATTCATCATTACAGCTAAATGTGCTGTGGATCTCTGCAAACTGACCTCGTGTGTTGCATGTGTGATTGTGTGTGTGTGTGTGTGTGTGTGTGTATGGGGGTTGGAAAAAATCTAAATACATGCACACCAGTACCTCAAACATGGATCTGCCTGCCTAACTTGCACTCCATCTAAGCCCCTTTAAGGCAGGAATTTTTAAGCTGTTAATCTGCCTCACCATTCTGCATAAAAGCTACAATTCTGGAATGGGGGGACAGAGTTATCTCGCCTTTCAGCTGGTGGAGGAGGTAGTCACAGAGCCGAAATGACGATTGTTTACATGGGACAGCGGGCAGGATGGGGCCATGGGCAGTGTTATGCCTGCAACATTTTACATCTTATACTTGCATAGCTTACATTTTAACTCATACAATAATTTATTAAACCACACAATAGCCTCAGAAAGACTAAATAACAACAGCATAAGCCTACTGTTTCAAAATCAAAGAATGCATTTGTTAATCACAGTGCCAGCCTGTGGCATAGGCAGTATAGGTGAATCCTAAAGGTGCCGTCTTCCATGGGGGGCACCACAAATAGGGGAAGAGAAAAAAATCAAATGGTTTATCTTTTACTATTTTTTTACAACTATTATTTTGAAATATTACATAAGGCCACAACAACACAACTACATAGCAGAGCCTAGTAAATAAGAGAGAGGCCTTTTTTTCTGGGTTCCTGCTGCCCCTCAACCCCCCTCCCAGCTACGCTGTATGGTCAACATGTCAAAACCACAAAAACTCAACTACCACTACACTACTGAGAGCAGTGGATGTGGAGAGAAAGAACATGAAATCAGAAGGCGAAGAGCTGGTTATTGTTTCCTCTGAGCAGCCAGTGGCTGCAACCAACAGCTCATGGAGGTTGCATCAATTAACATTGTGAAGCGTTCAAGCTCTACTCAGTAAAAATTTGTTCAAGATAAATTATAACATTCTCATGATGTGTTCAATGTAATCTTGTAGAATGTAGTTTTTGGTGGGGACACTTCAATAAATCCAGCTGTTTGACCAAGAAATGTGTTGATGTTTTCACAGCACTATAAAAAAGATATTAGAGAGCGAATTATGATGTATGATACATAGTAAAAATGCTTTTTGCTAATCTTTTTAAAGATGTTTTTAATGTAAAAGAAGGTTAAAGCAAAAGGTTGTTTCATAAATGTGTATTATTAAATTTGTGCTCATTCTAAGGAAGTGTAATGAAGGACTGAATGACTTTAAAAGTGTTCATTTACTTTTTTTATAGTGTAGATTTTTGTGTTAACCTGGAACAAAAGAAAAACAAATGTCAAAACACCAATATAAAAACATCAGTATCAGCTATTGGTGCGATTCTTTTTTTAAACACTGGTATCACTATCAGCCCAGTATTTCAAAATCAATGCATCCCTGATTCAATTAGAAAGTAAATTTGTACGTTTTATTATTATTTTACAATGTCAGATATTATTTATTGTTTAGTCTTCTAAACAAGTTCATTGGTATTTTTTTAATAGATTCTTGATTTCAAAGAAGCATTTAGTATTTTTATCTTATTTTTATCACCTAAGGAACCAACTGAGCTAGAACTGCCACTGGTTAATCACAGCACTCTCTCTCTCAGTGCTGTCCATGGTCCCGAAACAACAGCAGCCCTAACTGCTATACTGAAACATAAAGTCCCCTCATGGCGCCAGCTGGCTGACAAATGCATAATATTTACAATGTAGGTCCAACATTAAGTAAGGAGAAACAGCCACATGTGTATTGTTTCATATTGTTTTAGTATTGTTGTTTTATCAACTATGATTCACAATCTAACACATGGCTCATCTATCAAATAAATGCTTTTATTCTTTTTATCCCCCAACCATTAATAACTATTTATCACATCATTACTCCTACATATTACATAATAAAATCAACATATACCTGTAATATTTACACACAGGGTGCAAAATGAACTGTCAATCTATTTCTCTCTCTCTCTCTTTGGATAAATACAGCCTTCCCAGAAGAGTCTATCAAGGGATTAGGTGGGAGTGTTACATGGTCTGGCCTCATAGTGCTTCTCACCTGCCAGCATCAGCTTTACTCAACCCTGCACTGAAATGCCACGCCTGCCTCTACATCAAACTAGAAACACTCTACTTTCAGACTGTTAGGTTTAGTGTCAGACAGTCCATAGTGCAGCACACCTTATCATTGGAGCTTTACTCAACACCACACCTGCTCCTACATGTGACATGTGAATTTTCTTTGTCAGGTGTAGTGTTGGTGTGGCGTAAATGTGCATACACCATAACTTGTAGCATGGGTGTGGCACAGGTGTTAATGTATTAACACTTTACCTAAATTAAACACACATCACCTACGCCACATGTGTATGATGCCTGGGTAACTATTCTATGTCTATGGAAGAGGTGTAAGATTGCAGAGGTCTTGTTAGGCACTAGTCTGAGGTACTAGTGAGCATGAACATTGATATGTTCCACCATTCCACCTCGTGTGTGTGTGTGTGTGTGTGTGTGTGTGTGTGTGTGTGTGTGCGTGTGTGTGTGTGTGCGTGTGCGTGCATGTGTGTGTGGGTCCTGCTTTTATAGACCTTGACAGTTTGTCAAACATGTTGACCAGCTTCATGGCTTCAATTTCCTTCTGCTCCTCTGTCATTCCCTCCATGGGATTGGGCTGATCCTCTTCTACAACTCCTGTTATTGGGTTTATACTGAAGAAGAAAGAGAGATGGAGAGAAATGTCAGAGAAACAGAAAATCCGGTCTGTTTTGTGTCCAAAGAGGGGAGAAGTCTCGTTCTGAAATTGGTGGTGACTTGTTGCAGGAAAACAATGGTGGAAAGTTAGTGAAAGCTGGAAAGAGGAGTGCTGGGAAGAGTTTATTGTGCTGGAGTACATAAAGTGTAGCTGTGTTACCTAAAAAAGGGCTGAATTTTAAGCTGATTTAAAAAAAACTTCTCCTTAGGCGAGACTCAGTTAAACATACTAACAAACAACAGAAAAGCTATTGGTAAAGAAAACCATTTCTCTGTAGGGTCATCTCTCTAATGTTGTCAGACACTAATAACAATCTGAGCATGTCAGTGACAAAAACAAGCACTGTTAGTGGAAATACATTGACAGTGCACAAGTGCCCGTAGGGATTACACAGCAGCCTGTTTCAACACTGCAGCTGCGGCCAACTCACTCAATATTGGACCAATTTCAAAAATTTTTGTCCCCATGAATCACTTTGACACTAAAATATGGGAAAATAGGGTCCAGGTTGAAAAATACTGCAGCTGTTCCAGAGCTTTTGATCATATCCCAAGATCTTCCTCAGGTCATGACTGAAGTATGAAACTAAACTTTTAAGCCAGCATGGAAGAGAAGTCCTTAGAATGAAGGAAAACAGGGACATTTAGACATAAGACAATTGGACAGATTCCATCTGCCAGTGAAGATCATGTGATATGGGGAGGCAGCATTCATTTGGGCAACAATAGAGAAACCTGCAGCTGGCTGACTGGGAGGAATGGCTGGATTGTTCTGAACCAGCATGGTGTTTCTATTGGAATCCATTAGAAGATACGGATTATCTATAATAAACACAACTCTTTAGTATAAGGTTACTCATTCTGAGTACCAAAACACTTAAGATGATGATCTAGTTGCTGCTTTATCATCAGATCTGAAACCCTATGTCTTGGACAGGAGAAGACCAGTCAGCCAATCACAATCTGAAGCTGATAAAAGGACCTGATAAAGCCAAATGTGAGGTACTGTCTGTAAAATTTTCAACTCCCACCTGCTGAGGATTTTTTTTTCTGTTTTCTCAGAGAGATTGATTACATTGGATCTGATTGGGCCAAGTATAAAGCCTCCATTGCAGAGGCAGCCTCTTGTAGTTGTGCCCCGAGGGTCAGAAGTTACTGCCATGGAAGAATCCTAAAGAAGTAGTGGCCTTTTCAGGCTTGGTTAGCCCAGGGTCATGGAATATTGGAACAGAAAGGATACTGGAGAGATCATGGGAGTTTGCTTTGTGGACTTAGGTCACATCGTCACAAATATGTTTATTTTTTAAAACTGCGTTTTAGCACCATTTTCTGTCCATACAAACACACCTGAAAACATGACCATTTACACACACTAAGGCATGCACCGGCGTAAACAGAAAGCAGACTGTCTAACTGCAGTTGGCCCCAAAATTGAAGCGAAACACCTTGATCGCCCGCTGGCGTTTGGCTCCATGTTAGTGGATGGAACATGGGCCAAAATCAAAGATCCAGTTACACGTCAAATAATTTTTTTTTCCAAAGATGATTTCTGTCATTTTAGGTAGTTCTTACCACAGTGCTGAATGTTCAAGTGTTCATTTTTCTGATAAGTTTGGTTCAAATTACTTATTTGATGCTATAAAAAGGGGATGTGACATCGTGATTGACAGCTGTGTGTGAAAATTGGTGTGCTCGTGATTAATGGTGCTGCTCGGGATTGGTCAGATGAAGGCATGGGTGCGAATTTGATACCACAGAGACTGCTGCCCTTCAGACTCTAAATGACGTCACCAGCACAAGGTGATAGTGCAGGGATATTTTGGCTTCATTTCTGTACAGCAGGGAGTGTTGTTATGTTGTCCACCTCTTCATACAGTGAATGGCTAGCACAGGCGACAAGATGGAACTGTTACTGAAAGTAATGTGAGCATGTTGGTCGAGGTGGTGGAAAAACAGATTGGGAGCTGTTACGAAGCAAATTTCATGACATATCAGAGCAGTACAAGGAGTATTATCCATTGCCAGAGGAAGCCATGACTATGGGAAAAGAGTACCACACAAGAAGGATAAAATCACTTGACAAGCTGTGACTGATAAGACCTAAACGAGAAGCCAACGTGAGCATCTAGGTCATCGTTTTCTAAAGTCTCAGTTTCCACCCAGACTAAAACACAACCCTGGAGTTCTCAAATTAAAATGGGGTCTGCAATGCTTGGCGTACACGTAGCAATAGTTAAGAGTTTTAATACCACAACAAATTAGTATGGCTGTAGCCTAGAGAAGGCTGATGACCATGTTCCTCCAAGAGCTGTGTCCATATTCTCAGCATGAATTGGTCATGCAGAGGGAGCAAAGCCTGAGCTCTAGATTTACCACTGACTTTACTTTCTACTGCATACCTTACACATACCTATGATGCTTGGGTTAGTGATGGAAAGAGCAACATTTCACATAGGAATGGCCTTAATAAGCTTCAGGGTGGCTGTTGTCAGAGATTAGAGATAAGGTAGGTAACCAAGAGTAGCTGAAGAACTGCTGCTCCTTTGGATCCAGTTGAGCTGGTTTAGAACTCTAACCAGGATGCCTCCTGGATGCCTCCCTATGGAGGTATTCTGGTTATTACCCACAACATGTTGGAGGGCTTTCTATCCTATCTAGTCTGAGAATACCTTGAGATACTGCAGAAAGACCTGTAGGCTGTCTGAGCTACATTACTTGGCCTGCTGCCTGCTAGGTGTGGGGGAAAGAATCAATACAGCATAGTATTGTGACCTTTTATGATATACATTATTCATTTTTGCAAATACAGATTTTAATACAGCTTTTGGTGCTAGAATAAGCAGAGGTCTTAGTCAGCAGCATTTGGCAGGAAGTTCATCAGAACAAAGATGGAGGCACCAGATAAAGAAATCAGAAATGTGCCATTTAAATCAAACGTCTGGACTTATTTTGGATTTTCTTAAATAAAGGGAAAGAAGGACTTGGATATGACATGTAATTTGCAAGCAGTCTCATAAGAGAATAAAATACTCTAGGAATACTACAAACATGAGGGCTCACCTCACACTCCACCATCCAGAGAAAGGATTAGCCGCTAATGGCCAAGCTAACGCTAAAGCCGGTCTGCTGAAAAATCGACCAACACTGGACACACTTAGCTTGACAAAAACTGCCATCCAACTCTGAGAGGGTGAAGAAAATAACCATCACAATAATCCATCACCTACTTCATGTGCAAAGATCTGCATCCATACAGCACTGTTGAAAATGAAGGCTTTTGTTATATACTAAAAACACTAGAACCCAGGTACCTGACTCCGTCCTGACGTTTTTTCACTGACAACAGCCATACCCAAGCTCTTCAGAGAAGTGAAGCATAAAGTTAAAGGCGCTGTATGTAAGAATGTGGCCAAAACGGTTACTGCACTCAAATTCAAAATACTGCCGCGAGTCATGTTGGCCCCCCCCTCCCCTACAGATTCGAGGTTGCTGGACAGCGGCATGCTGGAGACTGATTTGTTTGCCCACAGGCGGCTGCCGTGGCAGGGCTGCGTCGCCGCGTCCTTGATCTTCGGTTTTCCAGCGGACCATTCAAGCAAGTCCAGCTTCTCTGTTGCTAACGCTGCTGCCAGAATACAGCTCATGAGGAGCCGGCTGCTAATGCTGTGTACCGGGACACTGCTAATGCTGCTTGCCGTGCTGCTGTAGCTCAGTCGTAACTGTAACTGATGCTGAGACTCTACTGACTGTGTGACTGGTAGACGGCGGTGGGTGGCGCAACAGGCCAAAACACAAATTCAAAACATAAACATGATTTGCGGACTGTAAAACAATTTTTTAAATGCGAATATTCTGGCTGTACTATTGTTGTTGGTGAGATCAGTATGTTATATGGACATTATTCCTTAGTCTCTGTGACATATTAGGAGGATTTTACGACTATTTATTTACAGCAGGAAGGGTGGCATTAACTTGTGACACCTGGACTTCAAGGTCAAGGTTCAAGGTCAGTGGATTCATATGTGACTATAACGGCACATTATCTTACAGAGAACTGGTGACTGCTGTCGCACATTCTCCAAACTAGAGCAGTACATGAAAGTCACACTGAAGCAAACACTGCAGACCTCCTGCAAAATACAGCACAAGAATGAGGGATTGTGGTTGTAACAGACAGCGCTTCTGACATGGGTGTTGCTATTCAGTCTGCGATATCTGCATGTGAAGTGTTTCGCTCACATGCTTAATCTGGCCTTGCAGAGGGCGTTAAATCTGCCAACAGTTAAGTTTGTCAGGTGTATGCAGCATTTCTGACAAGTTTTATGATGGTGTGGGTCAGTCTGTCTGCTTTACATCACATTATACTGCAATAAAAATTATTAAAGTCAAATAAATAGACTGAAAAATTTATCTTATGAGGTCAAACTGATGTTGACAAAGTTTTCCTTTGGGGAAATAATTTGCAGTTGGGAAAAAAAGGTAATATATCTCAATATATTTTATTGCAATACTCAGCAATTGCAATATTGCAATGATATCATATTGTGACCTAAGTATTGTGATAATATTGATTTCCACCCTTACTGCCTGGTGATATTGGTGGAAAGCGGAAGAACTACTCTGTCAGTCTGTCAAATTCACTGGTTAAAGCTGCACAATATCATTTCTGTAAGGGGTGCAATGAAACACACTACATGAGATACTGAGTTCAGGTGACACAGCGTTGTGGTGGTACTGACTGGGCCTTGGCCTCTCTGTACTCCTCTGTCTCAGAGTCTTCATCTTCAGAGTAGATCCCGGAGTCTCTGCCCCCCCTGAGCAGTCCTCTGGCAGCCAGCAGACCTGCAGCATTACCATATCCAGTGTACTTAATGAACCTGGAAACTGGATAGAGCATAGAACATATTACTGTTAATATGGCAATATCTGAACACATTAAAAGACACCAGTACATTGACACAATGTCAACAAAACCAGTTCCCCAAGTCTGTGGTTGGAGCCATAAACTTATTCAATTTAGATCTTTACCTCAGCCATCATGACCGTTCAAGCAGCACTAGCCAAGATTTTCAGTAAAGACAGATATTTTTAACTACTGAGCAGATTAAGAAATGCTCTTTTGTTATAAGGAATCTCTTGCTGTCTGATCACTGGTCAGTGATCCAATCGGACCGTCGTTAAAGTCACATACATATTTGTTTCACCATTGGTAGTTTTAAAATGATGTGTGTATAATTGATCAGTCCAGATGGTTAATGTCTTAGTGAGCCATGGGCTTACAATCAGTAACACAAAACTTGCCATAAATGATTGAAACATATCAACAAACAGGAATTTCCCTCACCACTTTCTTTGCAGAGAACAAAAAGGAATTCGGCAGCACAGTCCTTGACGTCAGTGTCAATGTGTGTCATAATACGGACTAGTTTGTTCCTCAGAGTATTGCCCACCTCTGGTCTGTTCTTCACATCACGCAGTGGGGGCAGCACCTAAACACACACACACACACACACACACACACACACACACACACACACACACACACACGGATACCCGAGTCATCAAAACATCAACATCTTTTAATAAAGGATTCTCCTCCTCAGCCCAGTACTGACCTTTGACCTGAGGAACTTCCTGGTCTCTCTGTGGATTCGGGCACTCTCAGTCAGCAAGGTCAGTGATGGGAGAAGGGTCTCCTTCAGCTTATGTCCCTGGAGACAAAATAAATACATCCTATCAGCTGGACCGCAATCATCCATTCATGTAAAATATGGGGACATACATTGTGCGTAATTTGAAGGTAATATAATTAATCACAACTTTATTTTGAAATATGCATGATATGAACACATTATTAATTGAAGCAGGAAGCTGGTCTGTGATGGTTGATGTTTTTTTATAACCTGTCTGACGGTTTGATCTCCAGCCAGATTCTGTTGCGAACACCATGTTGTTGTTACTGATTGAACTGATGACCCAAACTACATCAAAGAAGACCTACAAAGCTGGGATTATCCTTTATGTACAATATAAATGCAATTAGCTTTTTTCCCCCACACCTGACTGTTGGGAACATGGTCCATCTAGTCTTTCTACTGGTGCACTTAATATTAGTGTAATAATAAAACAACCAGTTGTATTTGTAAAAACTCATTTAAAAGTACACTTACAAAAACCTTTTACACATGGAAACTTATTCATCATTTAAGGGAAAATGTCACTGCTGGAAAGATAGTCTTTTCTTAAAATTTGGCTGTCTATACAGCAGAAAGACACAAATACTTTTGAGACTGGTGCTACATGAGCAGAGAAAACAGAGAAAAAGGGCTGTGGCATTTGCTTGCGTGCAAGAGATAGAAAGCCTACAACTGCAACTACAAATGTCCTAAGCAGCTCCAGACCAATAAATGCTCCTGCTGGTGGGTGACGTAATGCAAGTTGGTTTGGGACAGATTTTTGCTGGCAGATGAGCAGGGAGAGCTAGGTGCTAGCAAGATTGAACGTAGTGCACTTGCACATACTACCCACATTGTTATGATACAAAGCTGGTTGAAAATTAGCAAAATATCCCTTTTAACTCCTTGTAACAAAGATTACCTCCCAGAAAATAAGCAATAAATATAATTTAACTAAATAAATGTTATATCAATATTAATCTAGTATAATTTAAAACTATTGTTTCGTGTAATTCAGGTTATAATTCATGCCTTTTCACTTATTATTATATCACTGAGGTAATCAACTTACACACAGAGTCTTGTCTTACCCGGTCAAGTCTTTTTTCCATGTATTCCAGCAGCATGTTGACAGCATCCATGTTGACCCCCATGTACTCAATGGAGCCTTGTTGCACTTTGGGCATCAACAGTACATCCAAACAGGGCAAAGGGAGGTTGCCTAGCAAGTTAACAGTATGGCTGAGAAAAAGAGGGGGAGGGAAAGTAAAAGCAATGACTGCATGAATCAATGAACAGAAAAACAAGTGTACATTGAGATGTGTGTTGTCCTACCTGTGGAACTCCTCGGTCCGCTCCTCCCCGTCTGCATGGCTCATTAGACAGTGTCTCAGTATGGCTCCCAAATGTCTGTACTCTGCTGCGTCTTCCTTCACACACAGACAAAACAATCACATAGTTCATGTCTCCTGTAAGAGCCTTCATTGTCGTAAATGTGTGTATATTCTGTATATTTGCTTGTGTGTAACAAGCTGAGGAAACTGACCGAGGAAGGTTCTGTTTGTTTTCTGATATTAAAAACAAGGAAATGTGTCTTGCATTGCAGAACATATCTTCCAAAGGACAGCGTAAACATGTTCAGCACAATTTGGACCAGACTGAATTGTCTCAAGAAACAGGAGCTGCAGGGACTTCATCATTCCCCTGACTTTTCATGTAGTGCCACCACAAAATTGATATTTCTGGTTTGAAGTGATATTTCTCTATAACTATTTGATGGATCACCATGAAATTAGGTTAAAACTATTTCAGATTTCCAAAAGGTAAATTCTACCGACTTCAGGGATCCCCTACAGTTTCCTCTCGCAGCACCAACAGGTCAAGATTTTCATTTATCCAGTTTAATATCTAAAACTCTGCTTGATGAATTGGCACATAACTTGATTGAGACATTCATGTCCCCCCCAAGATGAATTTTAATAACTTTGTGACTCTCTGACTTTTCATCTAGCGCCATCATCAGGTTTGTTTCAATTTGTCCAATTCTTTACTTTATGACCAAATACCTGCAAAACTAAAGACATTCAAATCAGCCTCAGTTGTAGTTTTTGTTAAGAGCTAAGTGGCATGGAATTACTGTTACTATAGATGAATCCGGGAACTATGGGAGGTAAACAAGTCACCATTACTTCAGTGTCTCTCTAAAATACGCACATGTTTGAATGCAAGCTGTCCTAAGAAGTGTACAATTTTCTACTTCTACTTTCTATTCGATGTTACTTTTGACAACATCTGGAGGACCTTGTGCAGTTCTCAGGTGCACTAACAGAAGTGGCAAACTTCAACTTTGGAAAAAAATGATACTAAAACAAGTGCCATCAGCTAAATTAAGACTGCTGTGGTCCCACAGAATAAATTAACTTAATCTATCAATGTGGGGTTATTGTGAAATATAACATCGGCCACTCTACCTTGGGCCGTGACCACAAAGTAAACATCATTCAGTCAGCATCACAAACAGAACATGCATAATGGTGTCTAGTGTTTTGGTTTAACAGGTGAGTGTAAACTCTTGACTCTCAGCCGAATGTGTCAGGGTTGATCATAGTGATAACAGCTGTTAAAACCACGAACAGAACATGTAGGTGTCTTCGTAAAAGCTTTCAATTTTACTTTGATCAATTTCAAATATCATACTCATCTGTTCATTATCTACACTAACCACTTACATGAGTTAATGGAAGCCAACACATAAGCATTTGGCTGAAAGTTTCCAGTTACCACAGTTGTTAAACTGAAAATGAGGCATCTATGTTTAGTAGGAGTGATTTTTTTAACAATGAAAAAAATAGCTGTTATAGAGCAGAAAGTTACTGTTACTGTCAGTGGGCAGCAGCATCTGGATTGAAATATATTAGCACATTTACCTCAGGTGGTGAACAAAGCACTACTAGCGTAAGCACAGCTGAGGGAAGGCTGTAAACTGTAGACTATAGACTCTGGCCACATCGTTAAATCATGATGTTTGTAAATCACATCCAGTGTGTTCTACAGAAAGAGGATACAGTTGCCTGATGTACTAACCCCTGGAGCAAATGTGATATAATTGCTTTAAGCAGCTTTTTTAAACAGCTGACGCCTGCCAAACTGAAATAAGACTGCTGCGTATCCTGAAGAGTTGATACACAAAGTAAACAGACAAAATGAGTAATTCTGTTTTAACCTACAGTATGTGGATTTTAGATGAACTAATATAATCACTGACTTTTGACAACAAGATTCACAGTTATTAGTATAATATTGATTACAACATGGCTAAACTACCACAGAAAACTCCCCTAACGTGTCATTTTCTTCAGTACCTCATCGACCTTGCGTTTGGCTGTGTCAAATGTGATGTTGAAGAGTATTTTCAGTATTTCCATGGCTAGTTCTGTCTGCTGCCGGCTCAGTGGGGGCAGCTGTTCAGGGGGGGCGTCCTCAAACCCTGACCTTGCTGTCTCCAATGTATCCGGCCAACACAGACCCAGAGTGGCATCCAACTGGTTACCTTGAATATACACGGGGACAGGAAGTTAACAGCTTATGCTCTATAATGTAGTACAATAGCACCATCTGTTTATAAAATCATTTGCTTCTTGTAAATGCCTAGTTTTATTTAATTATTTTTCATACATCGTTATAGATTTATCCTGAGTTGCTGCACCTTGGAATGTCCTGGCGTTACAGACACTGGTGACCTGGAAGGTGAGTTGCCTCTTAGCATTGGATACCCTGGGGACTAGGAATCTAGAAAGTTTCCCCAGTCAGTAGTTTGACTGGTTCGACAGGAAATCAGTTACCTAGAAGCCTGATGCCATGAAGCTCCTGAGCTAGCTGTACCCGGACATCCACTCTCAGGGCTGTCAGCAGGAAGGTGAGGCGCAAGTCAAAGAATCGCACCTGGACAGAGAGCAGACGTGTAGGAGATGTATTCACTCTCTATCTGCTTTTTCTGTCTCAGAGTGCGGCCAATGTCTACTCATACTTATTTGCTACAAATGTGTTGCACAGAGTATCAAAAACTGTAAAGTACCAAAAGCAGGCACTGAGCGCTTACCAAAAAATGAATTTTTTAATACCTCACTGAGGAAGGACATAATCATGTTGTTTTTTTTATTTTTTGTATATTATATATATTATATATATGTATATTATATCATTTTTTGGTATTTGTACCAAAAAGGCCCACTGAATCTTTAAAAAAAAATCATATATTCTAGATTTATATTTTATATTTAACTAATTTCCAGTAGCAAAGATACATGTGTTGTTTCTATGATTATGTTAAGTCAAGTCAGACATGGTGGTTAAAAATTTAAAAGTTAAGACTCAGTTCAAGCACAAGACAGGATGTTTTGACTTACTCATTAAATGCCCACTCTGCTGGTTCAACTGGTACGGTACAAGAATGATGAAAAACAGATCTCATGTGACGGACACAGACAGAGACTTTGTATCTTCCCCTAACCTTTGGCGGGTTAACTCTTATCATTTGACAGCCACATTAAAACATTTATCTGTACTGAAGTCCATACCTCGTGGTTCCAGGTGGGATCATAACACTGCTTCAGCCTCTCTGAGACACCCTTTATCAGCTGTAGGTCTGCTGCTACCACCTGCCATCCATCCATCCATCCATTTTATAAATTAGCACCAACCAAATAACATTTGATAATCTGAGGGATTCATGTAAACGTAGGTATGATGAGACACACAGCAGACCTGTCCTGGCTCGTTGTGTAGCAGGATGTTACAGATGGACTTGAGAGCCTCAACAATCACTTCCTGGTCAGAGTTTTCTGAGGGAGGGGAGGCTTTCTCCACCTCCTCACTGGATACTTCTGCTGCCTCTTCCCCCTCTCCTTCCTCACCCTCCACTAGGAAGAGAAAGAATGGGACAAAAGATAAATCAAGCTGCTTCTATCTGTAATTCATCTCTTTATAGATTTTTTGTTTGTTTTTGTTGTAACTCCAAAATAAAAGTGAGCTGCACTGTCATGCACGTAAATGACTCCCTAAATCTCTTGTTGTGAAACATTTTCTACATGAACCCCAAAGAATTGTGAACAGCACACTCAGCAAAACTTGTCATGGATGAACTTTAATTATTGCCCCGTGGCTGTATCCCTCCACGCACGTGTCAAGTTTCTCTTACAGTTTACATCCATGTCTGTGAAAACATGGATGCTTCACACATTTTACCCGCGACAGCACAGAGGATCTATACAATCCCCACAGTTTAAGGTGGGCACTCAAGATGAGTGTGACCAAATAGTCCGCCCTCTGTTTCTTACATATGACATTGTATAATGGCCAAAAAAAACATTTTATGCAGAACATTATGATGTCACAGTGAGGCTGACTTTGAGCTTTTAGATGTAAAATGTCATCACTTCATTATTTTAACCTATTAGACATTTGTGTGAAGTTTTGTCATAATTAGCATATGAATTCTTGAGTCTTGGCTAAAAACATATTTGGTATTGGTATATTTTTCACACTGACCTTAACCTTTGACCTTCCACCACAAAATTCTCATAAGTTTATTTTTTAGTCCAAGTGGATGTTTGTGTCAAATTTGAATAAATTCCCTGAAGATGTTCTTAAGAAATCGTGTTTACAAGAATGAGACAGATGCAAGGTCACAGTGACCTTGACCATCAAAATCTCATCAGTTCATTGTTGAGTTGAAGTGAATATTTGTGCCAAATTTGAAGAATTTCCCACACAGGGTTCTTGAGATATCGGGTGCATGAGAATGACAGACAAGGTCATAGTGACCTTGACCTTTGACCTATGACACTCCACTGACGTACATGCACATTTGACAGCTAGCGCTGCCCGCCCCACAAAACTTCTCTTCAGGGCATTACAAGTCATTATGTAAAAGTTTAATGAAGATAAAATATTAATTTTGATGCATTGATTCAGCATCCCACTTGTACTGAGGTAGTTCTATGTAAGCTCAATAGGATGTTTCAGAAATGTCTCTAACCAACAATTGATCGTTCTTTCAGGGGCTAGAAGCAGATGTCCCAACTACCTCCACAGCCTTATGCGGCATTCATGTGGTGTCAGAATAATCTGATCCGTTTCCTTTGCTCTTTGTTATCAACGTGTTGTTTAAATGCTGAGCAAAAAAACACACATTACAACTTAAAGCTCATGAAAGCTCATTCAAGTCAGATTAAATCGGTTCTCGTTGCAGGCAGGCTGAACAGTACCCTGCAATAACTAATCAGAGATTCAGGAGCACGCAGATGTTCCACAGGCTGATTTGATACATACCAGACAGAGTTGTTTAAAAGATCTGTTCGTTCATTTTCGCCTGTCATCGCAAATGAATCGCTCTCATCTGGGAATAATGTGTCAGGTCAACAAACACAAGCAGTCAGACAGACACAAAGGTTGGAAACAAGCCAACAATTAATCCATATTATAAACCTGTTTTTTTAGGCCAAACTAAAAGTGAGAGCACCTGAAATGTTGCTAATAATCCCTCACTGAACAGGAAAACTGTATGACCACAACTACAGTAAGTTCAGTGGGTCAAAGTTAAAGCAGCAAGTAGGCCTTTAAACTACAGAGGATATTTATTGCATCCTGGTTTGAGTAATAATTTTACTGTTCACCTTCAAGTAAATGTGTCTAATCTGGAGGTTTGTTTCCAAACTATCTGATCATCTGACTGGTTGTGTTTCTGACTTATTTTTTAATGACATCCTTGTGTTCCCAGATCTCAACAATTAATATGGCAAGTACAATAGTTTTAGTAATAATAGAAATGTTGGCTGTTTCAAGTTATCCTTTTGTGCGAAAAAGCCTTCTTTTTGTGCTCTGAATAACTCTTAGTGCTAGTATAGGCCTTTAAAATGGTATCAGAAAAAACACAGATGTAATTAATATCAGTAATTTTGACTGCATCCCATTCAAGTTCTTGCTTGTTTATTTAAATTTATTAACATTTTTTTATTCCTTTAGGTGTCAGGGGATTTACGGGAGTTTCATAGGAGAAGCAACAAAACAGGAGCACCAGGATAGAAGCCTTTGAATCTAAAACCTTGGAGACACCTGGGAAAGTTGTCAAAAATTACCTTGGCCCTCCACCAGCTGGCTGTGGGTGGGTGTGGCAGCACTGCACACGGCAATGCCGGCATAGCGGGCGAGTGTGGCCATGGCAGAGCGGCTGATGAAGGGATCCAGGCAGTGTTTGTCTCTGGACAAGATCCTAACTGTTTCTAGACAGGCCAGCTGACAGGAAGGCTGCAACTCCCTGTTTAGGTAACTGAGCACCAACTCCCCCAGAAGCTGCGTCACACAACAAAAACATCAGGTTATAATAATATTTATATTAAAGGTTTGAATCTTATAAGTAAATATAAGTAACCTAATTTGGAAATTTACTTTAACCATATATCTGAATTTATGTGGTCTTCATTTCCCACTTAAAAAAATTCAATTGTCAATTTTAAAGGTCTCATATTTTGCTCATTTTCAGGTTCATACTTCTCTTTTGACTTTCCACTTGGTTTCTACTAGGACCTATAGGTTGTGACATTTCAAAAACATTATAGTATATACAGTGCATATATTCTCACCATGCTGAGGTACCGACTGTTTAGATATAATTTTTACATCTGGAGTGTGTTTAACCAGAACAACAGGGAGTGGACTTAACTTGAATTTTCAGATCGAGCTCATTGAGCTCATTGAATATAGATTCTGAATATTGGTAACTTGGATTTTCTGAACTTGTAAAACCTAAAATATATTTTGTAAGTTTTTGAAATTCCAAAATTTGAAACTAACTGAAATTTGAAATAGTGGAATTTAGACCACATACATAGTTTTAAAAGTAAAATATTTCATGCATTTAAGTATTCTGTTGGGATTATTTTTCACATTTAGGTATTCATTTGCTTATAAGATTCAAATCAATATATATTTCACTCACTACCTGTAGCATTCAATGACAAGATAATAAATGACAGATTAAAGCTGTGGTAAGCAGATATTTGGAAAAGGCAAAAAAAATTTAAAAAAAAAAAAGGTAGAATATGAAAACACAGTACACCCTCCTCTGCAGCTCTCCCCTCTCTGTCATAAGCCCCTCCCACTTCCCACGCCAGGGTTCGAACCCCCCAACCCTGATTCAAACCAGCTGTTGTCACCTCTTGCTGTGAGGCAACATTGCTAACCACTGCACCACCATGCCATACATGTTTCCCACAGCCTACATAAATTTCTTTAATCTTATTTCATTGTAGAGTTGCCTGCAGCTCATTCACTTAGCCCCTGCTTTCCATGCTCTCTCTCTGTTTATCAGACCACAAATGAGACAAGAATTTGTGGCAAGCTACCCCACAGTCCCTCCACCTTGCTCCCTGCCGCTGTGGACTGGCCTGGAGGAGAGCAGGCGGCAGCTCCAGAGTCTAGATCTCTGCTTAGTGGTTGTAATGGCTTAAATTGGGTCACCCTAAAGCCCCCAGAGCTGGTGTCACAGCAGGCTGGTAGCCATTGAGAGCAACAGGTATATCACCAGCAACAGGTTGTTTGCTGATCTGGCGGGGAGTCAGGCTGTCTGGTCCCCTCCAGCTGGTGTTTGTACTGGCTGGATTCTGGTTGCTGTGGCCGCTGACTGGGGGTCTCTCTCTGGAGCTGCTGCCCACTCTCCTAGCAGCGAGGTGGTCTGTGGCGGCAGGGAGTTAGGCGAACAAACTGCTGTAATTCAAGGCTCTAGCTGATATTAGTTACATAAACATGAACTTGAAGCCACAGTCGTGAGCCTTTGGCTTTGGCTAGCAGAAAGCTAAACTATTAGCAAAATTATCTGTCCAACCTCTGAAATACTTCACCAGTTTTGACACATTTTTTTTGTTTCAATTGTTGTCAGACCCTGTTTTAGATGAGTCCATCCTCCTATTTTAGGTTGCTTGTGTAGTCAGTGTGGTGCAGTGTAGGCAGTTTTTCCCAATTCTGGAATACCCTCTTACTCTGTGGGATTCTCCATCATTGAATCAGGCTTTCACAATCTGAAGGGACATGCACGTGTCTAGATGTGTACAACAGCCAATGGGAATGTCATGGGCTAGATTTTCTGAAGCCTAAAAACAGAGCTAAAAGGAGGTGCAGAAATCTAGTGTCCTTTGAGTCCATTTATGCTATGCTATGCACTCTGTTTAAAACTTATAATGGGATTTTTGCCCAGTGACACCAAAACAAAACCACCTACCCCAGCTTTAACCAGGTTACAGCTTCAACTGCTCAACAGATTCTAAAGGCTACATTCAACACTGAATTCAACAGCACAATATTACTACTGTGCTGCAGAATCTAGGGAAAGGTAGCAGCAGTTTCATACATTTGTATCATGACATAAACTGACAACTCCTATTAACCACTCTAAAATGGTACATTATGGTTAGTGATTACCCAGAAGAGAAAGTAATGAAAGTCAATTATTATTTATAGCAGTTATTCTTTGATGACTAATGCATTGGCATTAACATACCTTGTGAGACCATGTGACATCAAACATAATGCGTAATTTGTCTCTGCTGAAGTGTCCTCCTCTACAGCAGGAGCAGTGCACTCACTGTTGGTGCATTTGGCTGGCAGTTTCTTTGCAACAATATAAAGAAAGCTGGATTTAAGCAGCTGCCTGTCTCAGTATTACATACAATAAGAGTTTTACATAGCAGAGATGTTTCACCAATAACAGTGTGAACATTCCTGTTCTTGTAAACGTAGCAGTGACCCTGACAGCGAAGGGACAATTCAAACCTTTTCAAAGTCACTTAGGTCTTCTGGCTAATGTAGTGACCATATGCAGGCAGCTAAAACAGGCCCTGATAAATACGTCTGCTAAGCTGTCTTGCATAATATCTTCCTACAATCTGTGTACAGGTGTACGCCCAATGTGTGCACATGTCTGTTGGATCATGAAGACACGCAACTTCACATAAGCTGCACCTGCACTCGACCCTGAATTAACATACCTTTCTTTTTTGCCTCTGTGCAGTCTACAAAACTTTCTCTAGTACTGTAGAGGTGAGATGGAGGTATAGCTACATGACTACGATCACACCTTCAATTCATTTTTCTCTCTCTGTCTTTAGCTTTCTCTCCCTGTTTGTCTCTCCTTTCACAACAACTCTCTGGGGAGCTGAATGAGTTTGTTCCCACCCTGATTCTCTTCTCCTGTGTCAGTCCCTGTGGCCTGACTCCTCCATCCCCTCCATCTATACAGCTTCACTGAGCTGTGGTCATACATAGAATTAGAAGACCAATGTAAAACACATTTGTTGAGAAAAGATTAGACTGAAGTTACTTACTTACTTGTATTGTATTAAAAATATGCTATATTCATATCTTTTCTATACTACCTAATCCTTAAAACAAACTGACTGAACCTTTATCAGTACAATTAACTGCATCAGTAAGAACTTTTGGAACTTCTCACTGGTGGCTTAAGTTGCCATTGTCATTGAGTTGTGATACACAGTTTTGTGGGTTGTTTGGAGACATTCAAGAGGCTGCTTCTTTTATTACTGTATGGATTTTGAGTTAAAAATTTACCCCTTTTCTCCAGAAAGGAGGTGGTTCCACTTGTCAATGTGCCTGATGCTCAGGTCTGTGTTCCTGAGATGGGGTCCATGTCATTGGTTCGACAGCCCATTGGTTCGACATCCAATTAGTCCGACGGTCCGCGGTGCTGAACGGCTCACAGCGGGCGTATGGTGCGCCGAGACCGGCTTGAGGAGGAGCAGGCTCACAGCTTATGTGTTTGCCACTTTCTTTTTCATTTTAACCCACACCATGATCTTTTCCTGACCCTAACCAAGTGGCTTTTGTGCCTAAACCTAACCAGACCTTAACCACAGGGCGTCATGATGATTTCGGAACGGACTTCGGAACATATGGTCGGAACAATGGGATGTCGAACCAATGGGCTGTCGAACCAATGGGCAGTTCCCCCTGAGATGTGGGAGGTGTGTGTTGGCTCCTCTGCGAGCCTGGACAACCTAGAGTTCCTAGGGCTGTCACTTCTTTTGCTATATTCAAACTACTGTTTCATTGTGGGTATAAAAAGAATCATTTAATCTATAATGATCTATCTGGATTCAAACATCAGGCCATGTCTTCATTAATGTTTTACTTCTCATAAGCATACAGAGAACAATAAATTTAGCCTCAGTGACTATGGATCTTTGAAAAGGACTGAATGAAACTACTAAAAGTGATTCACAGTTTTTATGTCTATCAGTCCCTCCAAGATTTTTCAGCCCTAAGTGCCTAATTTCACCGCAGCTGATTGAAAAAAATCAGTTGTTGCAGTGTTTATAGGTGTGTTTTGTTTTGGTTATTTTGAAACTGAGCTGTGATGCTGTCAGCGATTCTAAGCCTATTATTATGATCATTAAGAGTTTCCCATAGAATTAGAATTTATTTGTGATGGATGGGGGAGCAACAGTTGATCTCCGACAATCAACTGCCTCTATGCCGCGTTAGCACAAGCTAACACAGCATGGCTTGATCTCATCCCTACTTGTCATATTTTGCCACTTGGCACGAAGCTCTGCAGCAATGATTAACATCCAGTACCAAGCCATTAATCCCACAATGACACCTAAACGGCTTTGACTCTGTCGTTAAACCTGTTAATAACTGTTGGGTAACGTTAGCCATGTGATGCTTACAGTTAGCCTTTTCACTGTGTGTCTGACTCAGTTGCAGAGCTCCAGTCCCACATCAGCGGTTTAATGATAAACAGAGAGAGAGGCAAAAAGAAACTGACAGTGAGTCTCAGATTGTATAATTATGTACTAAACACTTAATATTTTGAGTGCATAAATGCACTATGTGCATTCACACTGTATAATACAGAAAAATGCAGTGTACTAATGGTGCACTCAAACGTAGCTTTTGCTATGTCACAAACTTACAGAGTTATGAAATTTGAGACACACTCCAAGTGAATGAATACACTGTGCGCAGCTATACAATTAAATGAGATTTTACTCATCTTAAATAGTCAAATTTGTGGTAAAATTGCAGTGGTTGGACAGAATTGCAAGGTCACGCAGAAACGCGGATTGACTGAATTTACATAAATTGTTGCAATAGCAACATTGCAACATCCTGGAGGGATTGGTTTACAACAGACAAATGGTTGTCAGGTCTCACCTTAATAGATGAAGTTAGATTTGAACATTCAACCCGTCCTTGATTTACATTCATGTCCGCTGGTCAGTTAATGATATTTCACTACCAGTGATACTCAACATGTGGCCTGCAGGCCAATTCTAGCCCACACAGTGTCACACTGAAAATAAATTGATTCACACTGGGAATTGCTTCTTGTTCTTTTAATGTAAATCAGGTGCCAGAGTGCATTAAAAAAAGCATCAAAATAGAGCTTGTTTATTTTTTAAAAAGTGCCAGGGAAGGATCCCTCGGACCCTCCAGACTGAGGTGCGGGCTGATAATTTATATATCAATTATTAATTTTTAATTGAGTTGAGTTTAGTTGAGTATCCTGTCTGTAGACCATCAGCAAGGAGTTGGAAAACGTTTACAAATGTCACATGAGAAGTTCATCTTTGCTGCAGTTTGTACAGAAGATTAGACTTTGCTTTAGTTGTGTCCTCACTGATGTCTTCATTAGATTCATTATAGGCTGTGGGGAATCAGACAAAATTTTGAACTCTGTTGTAAGTTGATGATAAACTGTGGGCTATGTTCTAAGGAACAACTATAACACAGCGGTCACTGCTTATCCATACCTTTCGTAAGTTCCCTTCCTAAAGCATGGGCAGGCGCACATAGAGAGAGACAGATCATACAGAGGAGGTGAGAGAGTGTTAGAAAAGACAAGAGTGAATTTACATGTATTCTTTTACTGGTGATAGATGTACTGCAGTGGAAACCTGCCCATTAGACATTTTTCTCAAACAACTATGAGCTTCAAAATTTGGCATGTGTCCTTGAAAATATTCATTACAAAGGTGTATTTCAAGCCTCATTAGAAATCTTTCATTTCTGTGGCAAAAACATCCTAACCAACCAAAATGAGGAAAATAACCTTCAAGCAGGGCTGGGCAATATGGCTTATAAATAATATCTTGATGTTTTCTACACTGCGATATACAATGCATATCTCAATATTTTCAAATTTTCTTTAAATTAACTGTTCAATTTACCCCTTTGATGCATTGATCATACCACTTTGATCATTGCAGTAACATACAGTATCTGAATTTAAGGGGAAGCACAGGTCATATATGTAAGGGATAATGCCCAACGAGGTGTCCATTATCACTTTTAAACAGCTGACTTGGAGACATGAACCATTCGACGCCCAGCAGATGGTTGCCTCCATGAAGGCTGTTAAAGTCATAATGGACACCTTACAGGGCATTATCCCGCTTATACTATGGTCACTTACCAAAGAAATAAAACGTACGTATATTAATTTATATTTTTATGCTTTTTGCAGTCAAAATCTTAAGATTTTCACAAGCCATAACTCGGTTTCCTTGGTAACTCCTAAAGGTTTACCTAATATCTGGAACAATCATTACTGCCCAGTGAGGTTCTCCTGCAATTAAAATGTTATTTGCTGCTCCAGTGAATAGGATGAACCTTAGATACAACCTCAAAAAAGGAAGATAATCTAGTCCACCCAGCTAATAGCACCCTTTGGTCCAGCTATTAGCCAGAAAGCTAACGTTGTGCTAGCAAGATTCAAAGTCAGTAACACTGCATACAGTTTACAAACAGTCAATAAAAATTGACAGTATGTTTAACAATAAGACGAGCTAACTCTCTAGCCTGAAGTAGGGAGTTAAATAGCGGACGAGATGTGAAATGATTCTTAAGTTCAGAGGGGCAGTGTAGTACCTGCAGGGTGTGTTGCAGTCTCCCTACTGTGGTGATCTGAGGATGAAGCACTGAAGGACTAACGGTACTCCTAGTGTTGTAAATGAATTGTAAACAGATTACTGATATTATTATGTAGTCGGTAATGGTGTAACGGTGAACAGACAGTTTCACTGAAACTACTTAGTAGGTGTCCATGATCAGTTTTTATTGGACACTCTGCAGCCACTCAGAGTTGAGCGTACAGCCTGACCATGATATCTACCTTATTCCTAGCCCCCATGATCCATGAATTATGTGCGTGACTTCCGGCGTTGAACCAAAACCGGCGATTTCCAATGGTAACAGTTTATTTTATTTATTCTTCTTTCCAAGAGCAACTGGGGGATAAAACGTGGAACACACCACCTGTTATAGCTCAAACGGCATTATGTGATCATACCTCTGCCATCTTTGACAGCCATCTCAAAGCATTGTTTTTTTTTCCATTTTCAACCAAACACGCTAGCAATTAGCTTGCCTTGCTCCGTTAAAACATTGTTAACATTAACATGGCCCGAGCTAGCCTAAGGTCAACATCTGCTCTTTCTAATGATGACTTATTAAGAGATACTAACACATTTAGCAAACATTTAACATAATTCAGTATTAACTGTAGCTCCATGTAAAGTGAATAAATGTGATGTTTCCCAGCTAATCGTCAGTTCGTCTGCGTTAATGATGCGAGGTTTACACTTTTTTTTTTTAACTTCTGATTTATTAAAAACTGCTCTGAGTGAAACATGATGCTGAATTTAGCAGCAGACTTCAGTAATAGTAATATAACGTGGTAATAGAAGAAATCATTTTTGGCATTCAATTTTTTCATACAGTAAATCAGTAACACATTCTCAGCCCTAATGACTAAATACATATTTCAAGGTATGTTGCTATGTTTATTTTATAATGAGCAATTTTCTAATGTAGTACTAGGTTGAGAATAAAGTCAGATGGGCAAAGACAGGGATATCATGTAAGCCACTGACGTTGAATGACGGACCTGTCAGTCTAGGTGTCATTCTCTTCTGCAAATTCTGATTTAATACTTTTTTACTATGCCTCGTGAAACTCTTGTGGTCTTATTTCTCATAATAATGGTACCTTTGGCCACAGGAACAATCCCTTTTTTTGTTCTGGTTAGATGTTCAACACACAGTTGCTGAAGACAAAAATTTAGCTTAGACTGGTTGTTAGGCGTAAAAGACACAGAGAGTGTAACAGGTACCAGAGCTCCACAAAGACATTTTAGAAATTTCTAAGTTAACATTAGTTAAAGATTTATTCAAAAATAAATAAGTATTTGCTATACTGAAGGCAAATAGCTTTTGAAAAGAACCAGCGTCGGCAGTTAGCCAACAGACTAACCACAGACAAGTCTATGGGACTTTTTTTTCTACAGTAGTGCCCTCAGGAATAAGGTGGATATGATATTTTAAAGAACTTCAGTTTTGAAATTCCACATCATAATGTCCTGATTTTGTCTGAGTAATACTCTGAGGTGGTGTATGGTCATTCGGAAGTCAAATTGGTCTTCAGAAATGTATTCTGTATTATTCAGTTTGACTAAGTATTCACACACTTGAAATTAAATATTTTTCTGCAGGCGGTGGTTATTATTTCCTAAATTTTCATTCATTTGAATTATTTTTAATATTAATTCATTTCATTATGTATTATATAGTCAATTACGTATGTATTTTTATCAATTATGAACAGACTGACTTACTTATTGCATGAATGTGAAATTGCTTATGTCAATGGAAGGTTGCTGTATTTTGTAGTCAGTTCTTAATGCTCTTACCATAATGCCTAGTATACTGCAAGACAACATGTGGGCTACTTTGACCACCTTTTCTGAAGTGCAGCTTGACAGCAGTGTTCTACACTGAGTGGTGTTTTAAGTTTTAAGTGTATTGGATATATGTGATACATTGCCCAGCCCTACCTTTAAGAGAAATTCATCTCAACTACACATGCAGGAGGTTTTCACTAACAGCAAATGAGAAGGATTCAGTGTTTGGATGGTATGTTTGGAATACCTCTCTGTCCTGCTCATCTTCCTTGCTGAATGTAAAGCAGTGGTTCATCTGAAGGAAGGAAAAGCAGAAGGACCAAATAAAGATGTGAGGCAAAAAAGGAGAGTCAGAATAGAAAAACAATAATGACAAGAGGCAGAAGATTTAGGACAGGCATTCGTTGTAGTAGCGCCTTTAACAGGGGAGGTCAGGTTGATGGGTGGCTAAAAGAAATGTCTGATTTTGACACTGGAGACTGAATTTCATCACATCTTCAAACAAAAGTTCAACATCAGTTTCTTTTAACCATGCCCACCATGTTTCGCAGGCATGACCTGACCTACTCTGCCTTACTCTGCCTCTGATTGGCTTACCCTGACATACTTACCCTTACATAACCAATCTCACCTCTCTTGCCTAAAGCTACCCAACCCAACCAACGAAGGCAGTGAGTAATAACCAATCAGAGGGAGCATAGGGCAGGTCATTCTTTCGCTATCCTGGGAATCACAAATTTGTCTCCCAGACAGTGCGACAAAACTTTAAAAATTTAATTCAATTCAATCAATTTTATTTATAAAGCCCAATATCACAAATCACAATTTGCCTCACAGGGCTTTACAGCATACGACATGCCTCTGTCCTTAGGACCCTCACAGCGGATAAGGAAAAAATTCCCCAAAAAAACCCTTTAACAGGGAAAAAAAATGGTAGAAACCTCAGGAAGAGCAACTGAGGAGGGATCCCTCTTCCAGGACGGACAGACGTGCAATAGATGTCGTACAGAACAGATCAGCATAATAAATTAACAGTAATCCGTATGACACAATGAGACAGAGAGAGAGAGAGAGAGAGAGAGAGAGAATGACAGTAGCTTACAACAACATTATTGAAAGTAATAATATTATAGTTATAGTTCACTCTCTATTACCTCTGTTTTAGTCTCCATCAACCCACTAACACCCGCTAATGTCTGGCTTATATACGTAATGCGAAAGGTTACAATCTACATTCATACCTGGGTCAAATGATTCTGCAGTAGACGCAGATATTTATTGGCTCTGGCTCCAACTGGCAATAATGGAAAAGCAACACCAGGGTGGACATTCTAATTTTAGCGCCTTCACCAGTGACACGTAATTACATGCCACCACAAAATACTGTCTGTATCCGGCAAAGCAGTGCTCAAACATCGTTCCAATTTAGTCTACACCAAGTTTGAAAGAGAGAGATAAATTAATCAAGTAAGGAATATATAAAAAAAAGTAGCCACCGTAAAGTTTTCACAGCACTGGCCTCCATGCTGCTTTCTACTGTCTACTAACCTTCCAGCCCGTCCGAGACATCGAATGTGACACACCAGTACAAAAAATTGAAAGTCATGCTCATCTGTTGCAGAGCCTTGTATACAGCTCTGGTCTACTGGCAATGGATAAGGAGTCTATAGCCTATTTTAAGTGGGGTTACTCATGTTTATTCAAAAAAAGCATACATGCACTAATTTTGGTGGAAAAGAGGTTCACCAGCTAGCCTCTAAAACCCCTTTTCCACCAAAATAAAACATGTACACGGGTTTTTTTTGCTATGTAAACGGCTCTGCAACCGTATGCCAAAAAAGTTAGTTAACAGTAGAAAGTAGCATGGAGGCCAGCGAAAAATCTTATGATGCTTACTACTTTTTATGTATTTCTGACTTATTCAGTTTATTATTAAAAAATCATTTTAAAAATCTACTTATTCAGAATTTGCACATTCATGCGGGTGTTATATTTCCATCACTGCCGATAGAGATAAATACCTGTGACTACTGCAGTCATTTGACCCAGGAATGAATGTTGATTGTAACCTTTCCAATTACATACAAAAGCCAGATGTTAGCAGGTATCTGTCTGCTGTTTGCTGCTAAGCAGGTAGTGTAAAGTGACTTTATGTGAGCGCTTTCCAGTTAAACAGCTGCACTTGAGGCTGATGACAGCAGAGTTTAAGGGCTGAAAAACAATGAGCTAAAAGAGGTCGCTCTCCAACAAAATGCCATATGTAAACAAAAATATTAGTTAAAACAGGAAGGTTAAGCCAGTACTTTTTAAATCTGACAAATTCTGAAACCAGTAAAAGCAATTTACTGATTGCCAAATATCTAAAGAATTAAGGATAGCGCTGCATTCTGGTACCACTGACTGTATAAAATAATGGATGTAGCCACTGTGACGTCACCCACTGGTTTGTCAACTCCTGTTTTGAAGACTCGAGTTTGGTATTTTGACAACGGCTAGCTTGGTTTGTTGGAGCCAGAAGTGACCACATTTGGATGAGAGGGTGAACCTCGCCCTGAAGCTTCTTTCCCACTGTACAAAAAACCCCACTAACGCCTGTTAACTTCTGGCTTTTTTATTTCATGGGAAAGGTTCGAAATGGCATTCACTCCTGGGTCAAATGACTCTGCAGTAGTCATGGGTATTGATCAGCTCCAGCTCGGGTGGACTTTGATTAGCAGTGATGGAATTATGACACCTTGGTGGATGAACTAATTTTAGCCCCTTTTGCTGGTTAGATGCAATGACGGGCCACCACAAAATACTGTCTCTCCCCGTCCAAGCACTGCTTGAACATCGTAGAAAATTAGTCAGTAGTAAGTTTGAAAAAAATAAATAGTCACTGTAACATTTTCACTGGCCTCCATGCTACTTTCTGCTGTTTACTAAGCTATTTTCCACCCTGTCTGTGACGTAGAATGTGACACATTAGTAAAAATAAAAATAAAAAAAAGGCTCTCGTCTATTGCCAATAGGAAAGTTGCCTATCACCCTGTTAGCAGTTTTCCTGTGTTTAAATAGCCTGTGTACATGCACTAATTTTGGTGGAAAAAGGGGTATGACTGCGAGCTAGACTTGCACTGATTACAATTTTTTTGGGCCAATATTCAGTCACTGTTTATTTTATTTGTGCCTTCTGATGTTAGGACATACTTAATAGTTAAGAAATGACTCAGATGCATTCATGCCATTACATTCTTGTAAGGAACATGCAATACAGCAGGCTGAATAAACCAGAACAGGCTACCAGCAAAGGACAACTGAGCAAACTGAGGAAGGTATATAACGGAGACCTTACACCACAGAGTCTCCTACAACACTAAGCTCCTCATCTCTTAAGCGGTTTAGTAGAGTGGGATAAGACTGGACCAGAGTTGACTGTATTTGTGTATCAGAAAATCTAATCCAATTGCCTTCAAGATCAACTCTCACACAGCTAAAGAGGCAGAGGAGCATGCAGCAGTGGTCACCTGGGCTTGGCAAACAGCATGTTGTGAAGCTCAGGTGGCATTTAGACAAGTGAAGATTGAAGGCTCTATTTTTGTGAGAGCTGCAGCACAGATCATAGTCAAGTAAGCCTGGCCCAGTGCGTCTGGGTGAGCCAAACACACTTTTGGTAATTCAATCAATTGCTCAATCAATCATTTATTTGTCACATGAAATCATACAAGGTACAATTCCAGTGAAATGTGATCCCATCATCTCCTCGTACTTGTGCATTGCAATTTTGTCCTTTGTTGCCTCTTCTTACTACATTGCTGCTTTGTAAATGTCCATGTTTCCAGACTGGCTGCAGTGAGTGTGTTTCTGGCATCCTGCCATTACTCAATGGTTCTAATTAAGCTATCAGCTTTTAAATTTAGCTTGAGGTTGTTTTATGCATGGGCTAATTAACAACAAAGATAATAAAGATGAATACTTCATTCAAAAATATGTCTTCTAATGAACTTTCCTCCTGATACATGAGAATGTTCAACTGAAATCAGGACATGCACCGTGGACCACACAGGTCACTATAGCAACAATCAATCAATCACTCAATCCATCAATCAATTACTCAGTCAGACAATTGGTTGCGTGAAATCATATGAGATACAATTTCCTGTCCTCTCACATCACTGAGGGCATGCTTTGTAGTTCGTTTACATATCCTGACCTCAACAAAACAGCTGTATGGTCACACCACCTGAACACGGGCAGTGACTCCGCTCTGCAGTTGCCTCTTAATGGCATATAGCAATGATCCAGAGTGTTGATGCCCCTTGTGGCACAGGGCAAGCAGGAATGGGACAGCATTTCAATATTCCTACTGTCACACCAGTCCTTATAAAGAGCACGCTTCCTGCTGTTTTCTCATCAGAGTCCTCTGCTGCATCAGGTCGGAATAACACTGCAGTATTCCAGGATTCAACCATGCTTCAATGAAATAAAAGACCCTGATGGGGGTCGCAGCCAGTGTTTCATTCCTCCAAAGGTAGCTAGCTTTTAAGATTAAGCTGGCTAGCTAATAAGCTAACTATCTCACGAGATGAGTCTTCATCGTCCACAGAGCCAATGTGCCTCCTCTTCAGATGCTAAGATGTGCTCCCATAACAGGACTTTTTTTTTTTGCAGAGTTAACAACAAAATGCGCCCACTTTGGGGATTTTTGGTTGTGATGGTGTTGCTATCGTAATAAGCTATGTCACTATGGTCGTCAGCAGTGACTCACATCATAGCCAACTCCATCACCTACGAATCGATTATCAAATTCATTGGCAACTAACTTCGTCATTGATTTTTGTTGACGTCAGTTATTCATTGCACCCCTCATCCAGATCTTTCTCACTCCCAACTCGTCAAATATCCCTGCTTTGTCAATGATTTTAGCCTCTGATACAGACGTTCAGAGGCACCTTTTGCGGCAGTAAGATATGTACCGGGCAGCGGCTATTTCTGATGCCACCAGCCGCAACCAAACTCGTCAAAAAACAGCTACATTGTCAGTGGATGTCTGCGTCAGACACCAACACACCCAGACACTCATTGCGACATTATGATATTCACAGAGCTGCAGCTATCTCTGACACAGCTGCCAACTGCCATAATGTAAAGAGCAAGAAAGTTAGTAAGAGCCAGAGTTTAATCCCCATCATGATGGTTTTTATCTAAACCTAACCATGTGTTTTTGTTGCCTAAACCTAAAAAAATTAATTTAAAAACAAAGTGTTTTACCTCGTAAGTTCATTTTGAAAACAATGTAAAAAAAATGGATAAAAATGGATGTAAAGAGCAGAAATTGTACGGAAATGTATTTTGAAAAGACATAATACATGTAACAAGTGTCAATGTGAGAACCATGACCCAGCTAGCTAGCAGAAGTTAGCAAGAGTGGCAACTAAATTGATTTCCATCCATCCATCCATCCATCCATCCATCCATCCAAAGCCAACCCCAAAAAGCATCACCAACACTTGCAAAAATAGACATAGGAACCTAACTTTGTAAATAAGTGAAGTTGAACTGACTCAGTACTGTACTAGGCAATATGCACAGGCTGTTTTCACAAATTTTTTATATGTTTTCCTACGAAAAGCAATGCACCCAAAACCATACATATCCCATGTATTTTGAAAGGTTGTGATCACCTGACCAGTGTGCTGACGGCAGTAAACAAGGAAGCAGTCCTGTGCGCTTGTAAGGAGGCAAGTTAGAGTGGGTCACAAAAGAAACGACTTCTACTCGGCACTTTCCTCTGGAGTTGCATGTTCAGATCTGTGTGAACTCATTTTAAGGTATGTCCTCACCATGTTTCTTTTCCTTAACCTAACCACAGTAACTTTCATTGGCTTAACCTAGCCTCCATAACTTAATTACGTAACTGTACATTAAGGGTGTCGTCAAAAAACCCCAAAACTGACTTACGCCCGGGACTTTCCCTGGAGTCGCGTGTTCGGATCCATGTGAACTTTGAGTGCCTGAGTCATTTTAAGGTACTTACTCACCATGTCTCTTTTCCTAAAGCTAACCTCTCTAGCTATTTATTGCCTAAACCTAATCTCCGTAACTTAACATTAATGACGCAACTGTACATTAGGGACGTAATGTCATTCATGGGGCACAAATTTCTAGGATATCATACGAACTGCTGTACATGCATTTTTCATAGAATAACATACGAACCGTTCTATAAGAATGCGTTAAAATGTTAGCTTACATTAGCTACCATAATAACACCAGAACAAGTAAGGCTGTCGCAAATAATCCTGAGTCCAACTGAATTGAGCTAAATTTGAAATAGACTTTTTGTTTGCAAAAGGAATAACACATTATTTCTCATGTCAAAAGTACCATATTATCCCTTTTCAGGTTAATTTCAGTATATGACTGTGTGACAGTTGGTCTGTTTACAACTTGTCTTATCATCTAAGCCCTCGTTTGTCTTGCCTCATTGTTGCTGTATCAGGGTCTTTCCTAATCTCAGCAATTGCCTTGGTAATTACAGTGTTATCATTAGTAGAAATGATGACTAAAACTACAAAAACAGGACTTAAACAGTGATGAACTGTAACGTTCCTTTAACGTCCTTAGTATGTGAAGTGAAATTAAACAATGCACCTACTAAACAATACATGCTGAGCTGGAATGCATTTACACTAAGTTGGCCTGTGTTACTCCTAAATATATAGCGCTTGATTAAAATTTACAAAATATATAACCTAATATACACTGAGTAATCTTTTTATTAGACACACCTGTACTTTAAGATACTTAATTAGATATCCTACAGCCCAGGGTCTTTGTAAGGTTTTATTTGATGAGGATGATATGTAAACAGCTGCTGTATTTGCTGTGTTTAAGTGGTTTACTCATATGACCTAATGTGAGAAAGCTGCACTCCTTGTGGTGCGATTGATACAGATACAACCACCACAGCAGGTTCAGTAAACACTTCTACCAGACACACAACAAACGGTTATTACTCACCTATGAAGCATAATCATAATCGACAGATCGATATTATCCAGACAGAAATGCTACTGACACAGTTCTCACACATTCCAAAAAGTCCAGATGATCTAAATCCAGCAAAAATATTTAGTGCAAACACATTATCACATCTATAGATATCCACAAACGGTCGTGTTTCTTGACATACTATCCATAATTTATTCTGTTTGCATGTAAATATGGTGACTCTTCGCTGTCAAAATGGAGGCAAACCCCTGACCTTTTGATTTACATCTGACTTGGGTTAATAGGAGCTTCCAGTGCTGTTGCTCTAATATCTCCCAGTTCGAGTCATCTGCAGGTTTTTTTATCAAGAAGATATTTAGGCAAACATAAAAAACTAGTATTTCAGTGTGTTGAAACTTATATAACACAATGACAGAAGCACTTTAAGTGATTCTGACTGTTGGTGGAAAAAAACTAATGCTCCCTTTCAAATGAGACCATGCATGTACATAAAGATGGAAGAAGAAAAGCTTTCAATTTATTTTGGGTCTGCCTCACATAGAGATTTTTGGTGAAATCAGGTGATTTTTATAGGATCTCTATGTTTTGTCCTCTTCATGTGTATGAGAATGAACAAAACACTACCGCTAATAGAGAGGAATTTCTTGGAAACTATTTTGACCATCTAATTTTCATTCTTGTTTCAGTATTAGTGTGAGATTATGTAGGGGGTGTAAGGCTTCAAGTAGGGCAGACTCAGTGGTACTTACATCCATACTAAGGGGCATAAAAATGCTTTCTTCCTATCAAATGTGTCCTCCTGTTTTGAGTATCACCAAACAGTCACTTTTACTGAGCTGAAATTTCTTTGAGATGGTTTCCTGATGAGATCAGTTCTAACACTTATTACTATTGATCATACTGTAGAATATAAACAGGGGACTATATTTGGTTGTCTCAGTTGCCTCAATGTAAAATCAGTCACATTATTACATCATTTAAAATGAAAAGATGTTGGCAGCTGACCTAAAGCTATTTATGCCAAACAGGTAAAATTGAGATGAACATAATGTTTCCAAACAGAGACTCCGTCCCGTTATTATGCAGCTGATGCAAAACGTTACCTCCTTGTTGTAGCTCTGTAGAGCCGTCAGAGCGGTATCTTGTTCTCCCGTCTCCATTTGTTCTATGATGACATTTAAATCCATCTTCATCGCCATCGAGCTAGCAGCAGCAGCTTCCTCCTCAGTTCACGGTCAGAACAGGGCTGTGCTTGTGTGTTTGTCACTCTCAGTGTATAGGCTACACACACTATAGTTTGTCACCACCCACCGATGACTGCATGATGTCTGAATCCCTTCCAGCCGGGGAGAAGCGATTAACGGACAGGATTTGTGTAAACCGAGTGATGCGTTCAGGTGTCCCAGGGAAAGGCAGGAGAAACGCCCTTTCTGATTAAATATCGAAAGCTATTTACATATTGGTTGAGGCTCTCCAATTTACGACTTTTAACAACAACAATAATATTAATAATAACTATGATAATAATAATAATAATAATAATAATAACAATAACAATAATATATTATTATTATTATATAAAGGAGGATGGGAGTTTTTAAGTAAACCCCTTCAGATAACCCATGTATAAGTTATGAAGGCAAGATGGCAAGTTATGTAGGCCCTACTTATACTTTTTTTCATGTCTATTAAAGAGTGTAAAATGTAATTGTAATAGGCTACGTTTTCACAATAGTGGTTGTTTAAAAAAAACAGGAAAAAAAACCCATATGTATCGCCACAATTGTTTAAATAGTTTGATAAATCAAAGACTTTCTACGGAACAGGAGGAGACCAAGGATCAACATAAGGACAATGTGGTCACCAAGGGATGTAGGAGGTTTAGGCCTCCCCAGTGCAAGACTGTACAACCTAGCAAAAATGTCTGGATTGAATATGCACTGGAAGGCAACGGATTCAGAACTGAGCTGAATCAAAACTGGACAGAAGCTAGTAGTCCCTTCAAACCTCTGGATTACCTTTCACATGGTTTAAAGACTGTGAGACCTGAAGACTTTGCAAACCCAGTGCTGGCTAATTCTAAAGCAATGTGGATAGAAGTATACAGAATTTTCAGTGTGTCTCAAGACAATCATATGCATCTTTGTGGCATAACCCAGCCAAATGTGTTTACTGGAATCAGTGGCTTAAAAAAGGGATTCATAAGATAAGTGACCTGTACCTGTATTTATGTCTTTTTCAAAACTGCAAAAATATGATCTGGACTATAAAGGTAATTTTTGAAAGTACTTACATATCAGAAGCTGTATCACTAAGGGCCAGTTCATTCAGGATAAAAACCATGTGTTAAATGTTTTTGGAATTACTTGGTATAGCATACAGGGCAGCTATGTTCTACAAAGTCTTCATTGGGTTACAAATCTAAGGATAAAAATCTGAGGATCATTTGGCAGAGGGACCTAGGGTGTGGATTAAGCAATGAGGAATGGTTGAAAATACTGTCAAATACTGGGGAACATATAAAGGAGGCAAAGGGGAAATTTACTCAATATAAATTAATTAATAATCCTACTAAGCTCCACAGAATGGGTCTATGTGCTAATAATTCATACTGGAAATGTCAGAAAGACACAGAGATATTTCTACATGCAATCTGGGGATGTAAACTGGTTAACTCATTTTGGGGAAAAAGTTGTGGATCACATAGGGAAATTACAATTTGAGTTCTGTGTAGCTACCAGGTGCCTGTGGTGATATGTTGAGATCCAGTAACGATACTGTCAGTTTGTTCAGATCTGACTCAGTAGATAAATAAACATTTGAATTATAAAAAACAAACTTATGGGTTAACTGGACACACTTCATCGCCTCTCAAATTTACTATGTTGTTATATGTTTGTAAAGGACCTGTGACACCACTTATACTCCTCATTATATTTATTGATTATATATTATTTATTTATATGTCTTAGTTACTGTATTCATGTTCCTCTCTTCTGTCTGCATGTCATTGCTTCTTAATGTGACCTCATCGGCTCTTCTGCCACCAAAGAAAAAAATCCCACTGTCCCTGTCTTTCCCTGAAGTTAGTAAAAACAATTATGTCTTGCATCTTATTTACTTCATGTCATTATATTCCATTAGGCCATTAAATTTAAAGTTTGTGCATTTTGTGAAAAAAAAAATCTATCTTGGTCCTCATAGGATTTTCCTTCTTATTTCCCAAATCCAATAATTACTTTCTTTCCAATAATTACTTTATTGATTTTTTTTTTTTTACTTTTCAGAACAGACAAAGTAACAGAAAGAACAGCATTGGCGTAATTAATAATGTTAACAGTGACTGAATTTCATTAAGCTGCCTCAGTTTCAGAGTCCTGGTATTGTGCATGCTGGCTCACTGCCAAACTGTCATGGTATAACCTGGTCACAAATTGCTTACATTAACCACTCGTTTGTATAATCACACAAATATATCAATGATAGCTAGTACCTCTTCATACAATTCTCCTGTGACAGAGGTGGGTGCCATTTTATTGTCCATTTACTATTTGTTATGTATGAGTAAGACACTATTCTGTTTTACGACAGTACGCCGTTTCACGTCAGGGTTGTTGAGCTTTACGTGTGTGTGATTGCTTTGGCAGTACGAATGGCACAGCAAAGCAAACTGCAGCTATGTTTTCATGCAAGACTGAAACTGAGTGAGACTCGTTATTCTTACACCACACAAGAATATAACATTTGGCGATGAGGATGGCTTGAGTTTTCCTTACCTCCACCGGCACCGTTTTTGTCTGGATGGCTGGAGGATTTCAGTGTCTACCTCGAGGCCATGGCTTTGGACGACATCCCGGACAAGAGGAAGGTGGCAATGCTCCGTCATTGTCTCGGTACGGAGGGTCAGGATATTCAGAGCCCTCGGCTACGCGGAGACCTACGAGGAAGCTGTCGCCCTCCTCACGAACCACTTTGGACTCTTCCGGACAGAGACCTCAGATGTTGTACCTGGAATCTGCTGGAGCCACTTTCCCAGTTCGGGGGTCACAGCCCCGAGTGCTCTGATTACCACGGGCACCACTGTTGCCTCTGCTCCCCACATCTTTTCTAGCTCCTCTCTCAGCCCTTTTTTTCAAGCTTTTTGTGTTCCTTCTTCCTGATGTTGCTGTTGCTCGGGATTGCTGTCACCACTGCTTCCTTCTGATGTTTGTCCATCAACACAATGTCCGGTTGATTATCCATCACTAGTTTGTCAGTCTGGATCTGGAAGTCCCACGGGATCTTAGCTCAGTTATTCTCAACCACCTTAGGAGGTGTCTTCCATTCTGACCTTGGGACTTCCACCCATACTCAGTGCAGATGTTCCTGTACACTATGCCAGCCACTTGGTTATGGCGTTCCATGTAAGCTCTTCCTGCCTGCATCTTACACCTTGCTATAATGTGCTGAACTGTCTCAGGAGCATCTTTGTACAGCCTGCACCTGGAGATCTGTCTGGTGTGGTAGACCCCCCCATTCCGATTGAACTTGTACTAAGAGCCTGTTCCTGTGCTGCCATGATTAGTGATTCTGTGCTGTCTTTCAATCCATCCTTTTCTAGCTACTGGTAGACTTTCTTGATGTCTGCCACTTCTTCAATCTGTCGGTGGTACATGCCGTGCAGGGGCTTGTCATTCCATGATGGTTCATCCTCCTCTTATGCATTCTTAGGTTTCTGCTGCCTGGGGTATACACTTAGCAACTCATTTATAGGGCCATCATCCTGATGTATTCCTGGACATTGGTCGTTTCGTCCTGGACAGTGGCTCTGACGCTCACCAGTCCTCAGTTCCCCTTGTTCCACTTAGTGTACAGTCTCAGGGTGCTGGACTTGGGATGAAACCCTCCATGCACTGAGCGAAGCTTCCTTGTTTTGATATCAGTGGCCTCTATCTCCTCCTTTGGCCAGCTTATTATACCAGCAGGGTATCTGATGACTGACTGGCAGGGCGTATGTGTTGATGGCTCGGACCTTGTTCTTTCCATTCAACTGAATTTTCAGGACCTGCCTTACTCTGTGTGGGTATTTGGCTGTGGTTGACTTCCTTGTGGCTTTCTCATGGTTCCCATGTGCCTGTGGGACCCCAAGGTATTTGTAATTGCCCTGAACATCTGCAATGCTACCTTCTGGTAGTTCAACACCCTTGGTTCTGATCGTTTTCCTTCTCTTGGACACCATCCAACCACACTTATCTAGTCTGAATGACATTCCGATGTCGTTTCTGTAGATCCTGGTGAGGTGGATCAGTGAGTCGATGTCTCGCTCACTCCTGGCTTGATGCCATCCATGTAGAGTTGAGTTCTTAATGAAGGCTGTTAGTGTCCTGTTGATGTTGTACATTTCCAAGCATTCCAATATCCATGTGTGTGGCATCGAGTCGTAGGCTTTCTTGTAGTCAATCCAGGGGGTGCACAAGTTGGTCTGCCTGGTCTTGCAGTCTTGGGTGACTGCTCTATCGACCAGTCGCTGGTGCATGGCTCCCCTGGTATTACAAGCAATTCCTTTTTGAGCTTTGCTCGTGGATTGGACAATGTGCCTGTTCATCTTAGCCACTATGATGCCTGACAGGAGCTTAGAGCAGGTGGATAGCTCAGTGGTTAAAGCTTGTGACTTTGATGCGGAAAAGTGGGGTTTGAATGCCTGTCAGGTAACACATATCTCTGCACCCTTATGCAAGGTTCTTAATGCTGCTGGCCTCCTTTTGGATGAATGCAACCTTAAAAACAAGAGAGTCATACCGGGTTGTATGTCACCCAGGTCAACAAGGTATGCGTCAGGTGTTGGGGCGCCAGGGCAACCTTATGGGCTACTGGAACAAAACATAGATGAACTAGAGCAGAGAATATATATATATATATATATATATATACATGTTACTTACCTATATATATACAGTACAGGCCAAAAGTTTGGACACACCTTCTCATTCAATGCATTTTCTTTATTTTCATGACTATTTACATTGTAGATTCTCACTGAAGGCATCAAAACTATGAATGAACACATGTGGAGTTATGTACTTAACAAAAAAAGGTGAAATAACTGAAAACATGTTTTATATTCTAGTTTCTTCAAAATAGCCACCCTTTGCTCTGATTACTGCTTTGCACACTCTTGGCATTCTCTCCATGAGCTTCAAGAGGTAGTCACCTGAAATGGTTT